CTCAGAAGCCGCCCCGAGCATCCAAGCTTGGCTAATTTCATTTTTCACAATGTTAATACCGCAACTCCAAATGAGCAACTACTTCCTTAGAAGAGACTCCTAGAAGAGGTCATGCGGGGTCAAAGGGCACATTTGAGATTTTGGTAGGGGCAGCCTATTGCCCTCCTAAACGGCTTTGCTAATTTGCAAAGTGGTTCCTTTTCTAGAACTTGCATTTTTAAATGAACAAAAAAGCGTGAGGTGGCTGTGCCCCACAGGCCCCAGACGATGGTGGTGGAGAGGTGGGTGAAGGGCAGGTGACATTTATGTTACGATGCGCCCGTCACCGTGCCGAGGTCTTGACTTAGATCTGTGACTTAATCTTCATGAGCCTGTGAGGCTTAGGGAAGTCAGCGCTTGCCCAGGTCATGTAGCCTGGCCTCCGTCCTGGATGTGTCAGACTCCAAAGCAGTCACGCTTTCACCCGCATGGGTCCTAGGCAGCCCACGCCACAACAGGTGACAGCCAGTCCACGCTGGAACCCTTCTGAGTTGCAGTATCTGGAAATAGTCCTTTCTGCTGTGACAAGAGAGGGGACGTATCCTTCTGCGCCCTACAGTGGCAGAGGGCCTCCCCTACAGCTCTGTCTCCGCCACTGGAATTTAATTCGCATCTGTTTACACAGAGAAGAACACGGGAAAATGCTGCTGGATCACTGGGGATTTAGAGGCAGGAAAAGGACAAAGCCACTCTTACCCGAGGCCGTGTACTTGACCGTGTAACGAGGGCGTTCCATTGGTCGCTGAAGAACAAGCTATGGAATTGATGTGAAAACATCGAGAAGAATAAGAGAGTTACGGAAAACGAAAGAGACCCAGAGAAGGAAAATGAGAAAGACCTCAAATGAGAAAGAGAGCACAAAGAAATCGTCTGAACTCAGACGTGTAAAATAGGCTTGGAAACAGAATCTTACACCTTCAGCATTTAATTATTCAACACAGGCCGTGGAAGGGTCAAAGGTGAATAAGGCAGCTGTGATCATAAAGAATAAAACTCAAATGGTAAAATAAATGTGAAAGGCGGATGTGATTCAGTGAATGAGAAATAAAACTTTTCTTTTTCAATCCAGAAGAGGAGATTTTTGAAGAATCTGAGAAATACCCATAGCTCTGGTGTCTTTGGAACCAAACGACAAATTTCAGGATAACTTTGAGGCATTCTGGAGAGAAACAGATCTTACTAGTTGATGGGGGTATTACTTTGTAGCTTTTAACTTTTAACGGCTAGCAAATAAAGTATTTACAAGGTGCTTACTGGGCGCTAGGCCTCAGATCAAGAAACGAGTTTCATTCGACCCTTGCCCCAAACCCATTATCACCCCTGTTTGCCGATGAGTGAGCATCTGCAGTAACGTGGTCTGGAGCACACAGGTTGATCAGAGGCAGGGCTAGAACTCAAACTTGGGACAGCGGCTTCCAGAGCCCCAACTCCAGGTCCCTGCTCTGCCGCGGTCCTCCAGGTGGCGTGGACCAGGTGAGGCTAACCACCACCACCAGGGAGGGGCTGACGCTGGGATTCCTGAGTCAGAAGCTTCGCGTGTCTTCCTTGGAAAGAGCTAGGTGCTATTCCCCTGAGAGGTGGGGCATTCATTTTTAAGAATTCAGGTTTGCTTAGCCCGATAGAAATTAGGAAAGATTTATAGTGAGCTAGCATAAGGCAAAACAAACAAACAATGACAACAAATACAAACCCAACAAAAGTCATCAAAAGTTAAAACTTTGATTTTATAGGTAAATCTGAAACATCTATCAAACGTATCTTAGTAGCATTTGGGAGGGTAAGAGTGAAAACAAGGGAACCTTAAATAATTAGATGTGAAGTCTGATGAGTTAAGCTAGTGCCCGGAAATGGCCTATACTTCCGATATTGAGGGTGTTATTTACCTCGATTTACAACCTTGGAAGGCCATTTCATCTCTTATTCCTTATCTGCTCCATACTGATATAATCTGAGGTGCAGGGAGAATTTATAAGATTGTACACAGGAGCCAAATATTACTTGAACTAATGCTGTCTAACAGGTGAGTTATTTTCCTTCATGCTCAATTACAGTACCAAGCTGCACTGAACAGCTCTTAACCAAGTGTAAAACGTATTTCATAAAAATTCTTCAAAATTAATATTACTGGTTCTGCCATCACTTTCTGCTTTTATCCTCGCTTCCCCTGGTCCTAGTCAAGGTCCACTTTCACTTCTGAATCTCTCAGTATCGCTGATCATATCATATCATATAGTGATGGTTACAGAGTTAACTGAAGACCAGCATGTACACATCCCCTCTCCCCACAGTTCATCATCCAAGTAAAAGAAACCAAAAACAAGAATGTAGAGAACCATTTTCCCATGAAATGATGACTATAAGGATTGCTGTATTAATTGATATCCCAAAACGGCTAATTTCATCTTCTAAAACTAAAGGTAGAAATTTCAGTCAATAAGATTATCTTTAGAAATGTTCAACCTTTTAGGTATTTTCGAGTCGATTATAAATGGTTCCTTAATAAATGAATCTGTTTATGAACTGTCATATTTCTATAAAATAATCCAACTTATGAGCGTTTCTACTTAAAAAGGAAGCAGGAATCGTAAGAAGGATTCTTCCCTTCGAAAAATGACTTGTCATAGGAGTGACTGTACAGAGAACTTGTTTGAGAAATTTAAAATATGGTTCAGTTTATGTATGACTTTTCAGGAACACATGACTTCATAAGATATCTATTTAGGTGTCTTTCAGAAGCAAACATTCAGGAAACAAAAAAAGCAACAGCTAAAACGTCAGAATTGCTTTTGAAAAACAGTACTGAAAACATAAGTGCCGAGATTGTTCAAACAAACCCGAGGCTTGTCTAGACAACACAGTCTGAGAATTCATGGGAAAAGAGAGCAAATTTAGGCCGCAGCTGAGACGTTAGATTCTGACCGTGCCCTGTGGTGAGAAATGACGGAAGTGCTGGCAGACAGGTCACAGCCATGGCCCTCTAACCTCCCTTCAGAAAAATGAGTGTCATGGGTATAACTTGATATGCCATATTTGTCTAAGAAACCAAAATAGGTTAGGGTGGTATCTCTAAAAATCTACTCTAAAAATAGAGGGTTTTATATTTTTGGTGATGGGTGATATCACTGAGACTCCACCACTAAATTCTCAGAGCATTTATTTGTGCTTCCCGAGAGAAAATACCTAGAATTATTCAGAGGAATGCAATGGAGCATTTGATGAGACAGCTGTGCAAGGAAATGCATTTGGCTAGGATAGTTCAAAGCAAGGTCACTGGGCAAAGGGCAGTGAAGAGAGAAAATTCTTATTATTCTTATTTTTGTCAGAGGAATCTATGGTCCAAGTCATAGATTCCAAATATATTTTTTAAAATCAAAGTGTCATGTGAACAGAAATGTATTCTTACATGTCAAAACGTCTGAAAAAAACACTCTGGAAAAGATAATTTTGCAAAAAAAAAAATGTTATTTTGGTAATATCCTCAGGTCGAAATATTCTTTCATAATGCTAACAACAAAAAAATAAAATGACAGCAAGAATTGGACGCTTTATATTATATAATCTGCTATAACTTTTTTGGAGATTAAAGTACATGATAAAACTCTACCTCTAACATGGAAAATGAAAGCTTTAGACATGAAATGTTATCTACTATCTTTAAAAAAGATAAAAATTTTAAAGAAACTCATCTCTAAATAGCATGTTTGTTTTTATGTTTACCGTAAGTAAATATCTTCTAAAATTGTATTCTTGTTAATTCAGAACCGTAATAGGTTGGAATTTTAAGATAATTCACTCTGATTCACTTCATCCCATAGCTTAAGACAGCCATTTAAAATGCAACATTTAATTGAAAAGGAAAATCAACAGTCTGTATTTCAGAAACGAACTTCAGCTTCCTTTTTCCAAGTTCTATCTAATACGTCGGCTCTTTCTTGGGAAAAGTTTAATGCAACTGTTTATGCAAAAGTTTAACCCTTGTCCCTTAGCTATGAAATTATCTCACTCGATAAATTATAGTGCCGGAAGACTCTGCTAAATGACTATTTTACATTACAAGGGTGGTGGCTTTCACAGTGTAATCCGTGGAACCTGGCATGACACATCTTCTTTCCTTTCCTTCCTTCCTGAAGCTTCGGACTAGGAGGATTTAGCATTTTTAGGCTGCCTCTTGGGTTTAGTTTGGTCTCAAGATGGCAGAAGGGCCTAAAGTTCACATCTGTCACAAACATTTCTAGACAGTCCTTTAACATATCTTCCTAACCACTTTCAAATCCCGCTCTGATGCTTCACTGTGAATCTCCAGGCATCTAAAGGGAAGAGAGCTATGACGGACGACAAGCCACTCTCTGGGAGAACCTGAACCATCAACATAGCCGCACTTTTAAACAGAGCGCAGGCCACCTGCCGGGGACATGCAGGCCATTTCGCAGTGCCACAGCATTTACTCTGCTCGGGTAATCGCAAAAAACAGTCGGCTCTCAATGCTTCGTACCCCGAAGAGCGATCTCATTGTACCTGCAACCGCCTGCCGCCCGTGGGGCCCCGTACCTGCTTCCGCACACCGTTGCTATGGCTTTGAAGCAGCCGGATGCGAGCTGGTAGGAGCCCGTGTAGCACCGGTCGATGGCCCAGTTGAAAAGGTTTATTTGGTCGGGATTGAGTTCCAGCAGCAAGACGACAACCTCGCAGCCCAGCTGATGAACCTGAGTACGTGGAGGCAAGCAGTTATCCGTGTTTAATGAAAGGCTATTCGGGAGAGGGACGCCAAGAAAGCTTGGCCCACGACAGACAGGGTACAAGCGGGCACAGAGCGTGCATCCCGGTTCGTCCCCACCCCACATTTTCCTAAGAGGGCGCGGTGTTGCAATTAAAACTGAGATGTATAAACTCATCTGGACTGCCTGTAAGTGTGTCACCTCGCGTCTACTCCTGCTCGACTTTTAACTCTGGAAAGGTGGTGAAGACTTGGGCGATGTTTAGTCTTTGCATTTAAAATATTTCTGAAAAATACATGTATTTGGAAAAAAAAAATTCAATATACAAAAGGAGAGCCTTTGTGTAGGTAAAGTCTTTTAAGGAAAAAAATCAGAGGGAGTATGTTTCTGAGGCTTGATTGCCAAATAAGTGTGTGTAAAACTTAGCCGGCAAACTTTAAAAAATACAGCATGAATAAATTCTTAATCAGAGATTGTCATATCAAAATATCAGCATAGTAGATAGAATTCATAGGATGCTTAACCAGTTCCTGAAGCCACTGTCATATTTGTCCGGGAGAAGCCAGGTGCCCGGAGGCTACGTTCCCCTTAGAAAATAAGTTTCCTGCCTTCTCCTGACTCCGTCCACCGTCCTGCCAGTTGCGACCAGGTGGAGAAGGAAAACTTCTAACCTGTTTGTTGTTTTACTACAGGGTGTGGGCCCAGTTGGAACCATATTCTAACTGGACGGCCAGACACCATCCACCTAGTTCTCCAAGGGGCTTAAGAGATCCTCCTGTTTTATTTTCTAGAAACTTTAGTTTTTCGGCTTTCATATTTTGATCTGCAATCTACTGTCTTTTTTTTCCATTCCTGATAGCTTGCTCTGTTCTAATGCTTGGGCTAGGATCTTCAGTATATTGTTGGCAGAGGGGGTGAAAGAAGGCTTCCTCGGTCATTTAAATCTCAGGGAACACTTTCCAAATTCACTACTAAGCATGATATTTGCTATACAATTTTTTAAAGACACTCTCTATCAAACTAAGAAAGTTCTTTTTTATTCTCAGTTTTGTTAGGAGTTTCTCTCGTAAATTAATGTAGAATTATATTAAATGCTTTTTCTTCATCCAATGAGATGATCATATGATATATCTTTTTTGAGATTCTATTATCATAGTTAATACACTAATGAACTGATGGATATTTGAATATTCAACCAATCTTGCAGCTCTTGAATAATCCCAACGTGTTCATGATGAATCAAGATTTTAAAAAATATATCACCGGATTCAGTTTTCTAATATTTTGTTTAAAGTTTTTGTCTCTACGCTCATGAATGAAATTGCCTTTTAATTTTATTTCTTGTTAAATCTTTGCCAGGTTTTAGTAGCAAGCTTAGGCTGGTCTCCTAAAATATGTTGGGATATTCTTCCTATTGAGCTGTTTTCTCTTTAAGAGTTTGTATTAAATCAATGCAATTTGTTCCTGAAATGCTGAATTCATCAGTAAAGCCATCTGGTCCTAAAGTTTTCTTTGTGAGAAGACTTTCGATTACAGATTAAAGTTCTTTATTACTTATTTGACTATTGAGATTTTCCTTTCTTCTTGTACTGTGTTTTTCTAGGAATTTGTCTGTTTTACCTAAATTTTCAAGTTTATTGGCATAAAGATGGTCATATGTTCTCTTTTGTTTTAAATATTTGTAGCATCTGTGCTGACGTCCCTTTGCATTTCTGATGTTGGTGACTTGTGCCTTCTCTCTGTCTTTCCTCATCAGAGACTTGCCACGGATTTACCCATTTTATCAGTCTTTTAACACATTGAACTTTCGGTTTAAATATTCATTTTGATTGATTCTCTTTCATTAATTTCTGCTCTTATCTCTATTACTTCCTTCATTGTACTTTTTTTGAGTTTGATGTTATTGTTTTTCTAACATCTTGAGATGAATGCTTAGGTCGCTGATTATCAGCCTTTTTTTTCCTGTCTAATATGTGAATTTCAGACTATACATTTCACGCTCAGCAAGACTTTATCTACAACCCACAAGTTTACATGTAGTGTTTTCATTATTCTTCGGTTACAAATATTTTTTCAGTTTCTTTTGTTACTGATTCTTTGACTCATGAGTTATCTGGAAGAACGTGTCTTAATGATCTTTTTGTGTTATTGATGACTAGCTTAATTTCACTGTGATTACAGGAGAGTGTCTGTGTCATTTCAATCATTTGAACTTTGTGGAGACTTGCTTTATGGCCCAGTTTCTGGTCAATTTTGGAAAATGTGATTGTGATTTTTATCCTGATGCATAACAGTGATGTGAACAACAGCTAAACCTACACTCCTCTGGCCGATGTGGGACGAGACAGTGCTGTGGGCAGTGCTCAGACTCCCCAGGAACCCAGCGGAGGCAGAACTCCCTAGACATTCAACGCCATGTCCGTGGCTGCTACTCACGCGTAAATCCTGACAGGCGAGGATGTTGTCAAGCCACTTATATAGGTAGCCATCTGGGGAAAGACCCACGTTGTCGAACACGGGGCCACAGCACAGCACCGCTGACATCGCCTGATGACAGAACACAAAAGCCAGGATGATCTCATGGCAGGCGCTGACTGAAAATGCTAAGGGTCTTTTACAGCCGTCATTTCCACAAGACTTGAAACTCCTTAGGAGATTCGATAAAAAAATACGATTCCCAATTTTGGCTCTTTTGAGAAGAGTTAAACCCATAAATGTCACTTTGTGAACATGTAATTTTATGATTATAACAAATCTTTATGATGAAAGAGTGCAATATTCAAAACCAAATGACCATTTCCCAGTATTTAAAATAAACTTACCTTCAGTGATTTCGAGTGAATGAGTTCTGCTTCGAAGACAAACACAGCTTTCCAAATTTTGCTTTGCTGACAGATATGACTATGAACTGAACTGACAATCTTGACAAATATTTGAATAATGTACTAAATTGCCAAACTATTCAATGCATGGGAATAAATGTGATTTGGAATCAAAGATAAAGAAAAGGAAGAATATGAACTTTAGTTCCTTGGCGGTGGGGCAGGAGGAAAGGGAAGGGAAGGGGAGGGAAGACCTCGACTAACATGGCAGCTGGCAGGCCCAGAAGGCCATCGGAGCCGTGGTTTAAACTGTTCCACGAGGTGAGAGTCAGCCCGGGAGTCAGCGACTTCTGGTGTTTGTGACAGAGCTGATACGCAGTTAATTTTCCAAAGGAAACCAGGCTGTAAGGAATCACGCTTCTGACTCCTTGAACAATCCCAGTAGTATGGAAATTGATTTCTGGGGTCTTCTAGGGTAGGAGGCTCAAAAGTGAATGTGGCTCCTGGCAGATTTTGAACAGGTTTCATAGTCATATGAAACACACACACACATCTAATGTTTTTAGAATTAGCAAGGCAGCTACTCAAAGCATTCACCCTTTTAGCAAACACGTGTGGTTCTGACATAGGAGAAATGCCAGGTAAAAGTGGGAGTTTGGAAAAGCTTGATGTTTTGAAATTATAAGCCCAGTTGGAACATTTACATAGTTATACGTAGTAACTCTACGTTTATGTGTGTAGCTTTGGAACTTTTAAAGTCAGCTTATTTGTTTATACGCGTGTTTGTGTGATATTTTGCACTCGTATTTTATCACATACCATCTTAATTGTTTGCACCTTATTTACGGCATGTGTCAGCTTAAGGAAGGAGACCAGGTGCCCTTCCCGAGGCAAAGGCGACCTACCTTCAAGGCGCAGTACTGGTATCTGGTGATCTGGTGATTCCGGTCGCTGTACCGGTCCAGGGGCGTGAACATGACGCTGAAGGGCCCCGCCCACTGGCTAAACAAGATGAAAAGATGGTGCCTCAGGCTTTGCTGGGGGAAGAGAAATCTCCGGTGGTGAACTAGAGGGAAAAACGCCGAGTTCAGAGTCTACGAGACTGAAAAATACAGTGACTACAGTTTATGCCACGATTATACGTGATTTTTAAGTTTGGGGGAAAGGAGTACTATCACTTCCTAATTCCAGTGTTCTTTAGATAAAGAAACGTGTTATTTCCAAAGTCAAGTGGAATCGTCTTTCTAAGTGTGGACCCTCCCTCCACCTGCTCACACTGCAGTCCCTAGCGCCTCGCTCCGTGGGAAGGAGACGCGGGAGACGGACTCATAGACGCTGTTTTCTAATCAACGTCCAGAAAACTCGCAGCGCCTTCCACTCAGCTATCACTGACACAGACAGTGTTCCCTTGACAGCGGCTGCCGGTCTCCGGAAGCACTGTGACGCGCTACACACAGGCTGGTTCAAACGAACTCGCTCTAACTCGAGAGGGTCAACTCGCATCTCAATTTGGGGCCATCGGAGGTGAGGAGGGCTGGTTACGCAACATCAAGATAACAACAAAAGAGAAACGGTCGAGTTGCATCTCTTTGTACTTATGTCAAAAGTTTTAACGACAGGCATTCATTTTTACACCAGACTGACCAGATGTTTTTATTCTCTACGCTTCTATTAGGTGATGTAGAAGTCTATGTGATGTGTTTAGATAGAGTGAAGAGCTGTTCACAGAGTTTGTAAAACGCGTAATAAATAATGACAAAAATGTAAACGTGGTGGGGAGGAGTAAAAATTGTAATGACTTTAGAATGTGTTCTAACGTAAGTGACCATCGACTTAGAACAGACTGCTGTAACTACAGCTTGGTAAATATGAATCGAACGGTGACCACTCACCAAAAAATCTATGAGATACACAAGAAATAGAGAAAGGAACCCAAATGCAACACTACAGAAAGTCACCAACATACAAGAGAATAAAGAATGAAGAAAACTACAAAAACAATCAGAAAACAATCGATGAAGTGGCAATAACTACGTGTCCATCATATCCAACTATAAATCTACATATTCGAATAAAAATGGATTAAATGTTCCAATCAAAAAATGGGGTGGCTGTATGGATAAGAAAACAAGCCCCTCATATATGCTGCCTACGAGAGACCCACACAGACTGTCAGCAAAGGGATGGACAAAGACATTTCATGCAAATGAAACAAAAAAAGGCTGGGGTCGCAATACTTATGTCAGCCAGGACAGACTTTAAATCATGTTTACAGATGAGCACAATGAGGACGCTCATCTGTGAACGTTGCCTCTGAATCCTGTCCTTCCTGCGGAAACGCATAGGCCGATTTTCAGGTGGGAACCAAAGCAAAGAACAGAAATCTCGACGAATGCAAAGCCGAACTTAATTCCTATCGCTCCCTTTCTGACCTGGGCTGAATTACCACTATCCGTTCCCACGTGCCTGTCCAAGCGTTTCGAGACAAATCGGTGATCCCACCGCAGACCCGCACCCAGGCCAGGGGCACTGAAAAGGACACACATGGTCCAGAGAAACAAATGGTGCTCCAAGCACAAAGGTGACCCGCAGCGATGTGTGACTGTACCTGGGACGCACTGAATCAAGTTGGCGACCATGGCGCTAAAATGTGCCCGGATATCTTTGAGAATTTCAACTTCTTTATCGTTTTCGGCTTCCAGCAGCATGCGGGTCAGGTCCACATATTCTAAGAACAAAGCTCCGAGGGCCAGAGTGTCCCGTTCTAAGGCTCCGTTTGTGCTGGAACAAAAAAAATGAAACTTTTAGATGCTCGGTCTTTGTGTCAACGTGGTATGTGCTTCATGGAAAATGAGTTCTCACGGTCAGAACTCACACACTAAATTTGTTCTTGACCTACATACAGTGTAAATAGAATATGAAAAAAAACCCACAAAAGCTTTCCCGGATTTTTCTGAGTAAAAGTTACAGGTAATATATTTTTTAAAAAAGAGAAAGAAGAGACAAGGTGAGCAGAGATCAGCTCAGGAGAGTTTTCACCCTACCTGTCACTTATTACGCCAGCGTCAGCCAGGAGCTCAAATATTCGGAGTAGCTGCAGTCTTAACAAGTCCCGTCGTTCTCGGCGTTTTTTGTTCTGTGCGGAAAGAGGGGACAGCACTTAGAGACGTGGGTGAAACCATGTGAATTCTGCTTTAGGAAAGTGGATTCGAGAAGGGCCTACTCTGGTCTTTTTCTAAACACAAAAGACAAAATGCATTTTTCTTTCTTCCTGATCCTTAGAGGAAACGCTTGCTGTAAGAGAAATATCATGAAGGAGCCCACGATATTTATAAGGTGGACATGTTTGGAACGAACCTCATCTCTCAGACGCCTCCAGCGTCCGCGGGAAGACTGGAGTACCCAGAACAAGTGACGGGCACAGAGGACACCGACATGCCCACCGATTCGGGTCACAGAGCTCACGTGTTCTTCCTTGAACTGCTCGATTTTTGTTACTTCTTGGATCTGACCTACTGTATGGGAAGCTCTTCTTTGGTCTTATTCTTTTTTATTTTTGATCCTGCTACATTATAAGTTTATCTTTTTCAGAGTTCACTTCGGGGAAGATAATGTTGAGGAAAATAGTTCATGTGAGAGACAAAACAAATAATATTCTTGACCATCCAACTCCTTGTAGAAAATGAGCAAACAAACTAAAAAAAACAAAATTCAATGAACTCAGACCCCCTGCAAAAGAATGTGATATCCTAACATATATGTGACTATTCGGGTTGTTGTGCTTTTGTAAGTTTAGGACCTGAAATCTTTTAAAGTAGGAACCATATTATACGAAATACTCAAACACCGAAAAATAATGAAAACAACACAAATTAAAATATTCCTTAGGAGAAACCATCAGGTAAGATTTAAACTCACAGCATTGTCCAAACAAACCAGGGCATGAAATGATTTAAATTCAAAATCTTACCTCTGGTCTCCGTTCCAGAGCTTCTTTCATTAATGGATGAAGTTCTTCTACCAATTCTCTACGGAGGAAAAAGGCCAGCACTTGAAATTCGTTATCGTTGACACCAAACTTGTCATCATATTAATCTATTCAGCCCTAAGTCGTTAGCTTTTATCAGTTTGCGTCTAACATCAGAATCTCTCTGGCCTTTCTATTTCCCAACCACGTGGTAAACTGGAAGCAGGTACTGGCCTACACTTCGTATGATTGGTTCTGACCTCAGTGCTACGAACATAATTTTGGCTCAGTACGTATGTGTCGACTTGATTTATGTTCCAGAAACCTCTATGGCAAGATCCTATCTGAACAATTAAACCATATTTTTGCAAGGGCTTACTAAATTCAAAGCACTTTATCATAGGCTGAGGGACTGAAGGTAAATAAAACTGAGTGGCAGCACAGAAGAAATATTCAGTATAATTAGGGCGCAAGACACAGGTGCAATCCCAAGGTGCCGCCTTGGGGACCTGTGCTCAGGGGACTAACTTAAAGCTGATTTTAAAATGAAGCCTTTTTAAAACTTCATTAGAGATTCCTGTATTTGAGCTATATGACACATGCAAATACGGCGAGTCCTATAATAGTGAGCTTCTCATCCAAATCTTCCCTCTTGTGTGGCAAAAATTAAGGCCTAATCATATCAACATGTGTCTCATGTTACATGTATATACCTCACACGTCCCTGATAGCTCCAAAACAAAATGACGAGCTCCAGACTGTTGGTATGTATTTTATCTAGAGTCTGCTCCATGTCTGAAACCTTATTATTATTATTTTTTTTTTGGCAGGATATTTTGTGTTATTAGAAATCACCCTCCCGGGAAACCCCAGGACAGGAAGGCGAGCTCGGTGGCGTCCTGCACTGAGGGACAGAAGGCCCATGTCGCATTTCAGGTTCCTCCAAAATGCATGCTAGAATTTCTTCACCAAAGACATGGGAATAATATTAATGGTCTCCTCCATCTAACAGCAACCATGTCCTGAATGTTTACTGCTTATATTGATATTTTTGTGTATTTTTCCTTTCGATAAATCTGAGCCAGGTTCTATAATTATACCATTTTTTTTCTTTATTAGAGAGAGACACTTTATTGATGATGACAGTTTTAAAGGGGAGGGAACTGAGGCCCAGATCTACGGGCTTGCAAGTGGCAGAAGTCATTCCCCCTGAGGAATTTTAAGAGGGTGACATATGCAAAAGAGCCTCAGGTTCTTTGGGAATGAACTCGGTCATCTGAGAACTGTTCTTGTTTGTATATGATGCTTTGTCTTAACTTATTGATAAGTAGTAAAACTCTGGTTAAGTGGCACTGATATCGTCAGAACTCACAATTACTCTTTTTAAGGACGGTGTCTGGCTCTATACGTGAATAACGTAACTGATCTTTTTCGGTTGCTTCTCAGACGTCTCATTAATCTTTATTTTTCAGTAGGGTTTCTCACAGATGCTTGGAGCTTTCCCTTTTGTGTCTGCACGAAAAACTGTAAGATTTCATTTGTCCTTCTAGGCTTTCCTGCTTAAAGTCATCAGAGGCGGCCCAAACTACCGTTTCCTGATGATTCTTTGAAAGGGTGTTGACACTGCCTCAGATGGAATGGCATTTTGATCAGAGGTGTGACATGAGCAAGGAATCCAGAAAGTGAGACTGACGGGTCTATCAGGGCACATGGCAGTGTGACCGATCCCCCCTGAAGGAGTCCCACCAGTTCTCAATCTCCGAGAGCCTGCTGCCTAAACAGCTGATGAGCACACACGCTCCCTACTCTGACCTGAGACCCTCTGAACGGTCTGGTTAACCGGGCCGTTGACGCCGAATATCTTCCTTAATAAACGATCTCAAAAACAAAGCTTGCAAGCGAGCGGCACTGTCTAAGTGGCAATGACCGAGAGTGAAATGGACGCGAGGCAGCTGCGGGCAGTGCTGGCTCCCTGCACGCCAGCCAGAGGACAGAAGGAAGTGGCGGCAAGCCCAACGCCGCAGGCACGTGCCAGCAGCAAACTCAGGCTCGCGGTAAAAACGGGCACCACGACAGCAGCCACGCGTGTCAGTTGACAACAACCCATTAAGACCCCCGTACCTGAAAACGAGAGAATTCGTTCTTCCAAATCCTAAAACTAAGGACTCTGTGATCTCGATGCCCTCTAGTCTCATCAAAGGCACCAACTGCTTTAAGAGAACTCCCACCGACGGGGTGCCTATGGCCTGAAACGAGTGGATTAAAAGTGAAAAAGAGGTCACATGACAACGGACGCTTCCGAGGATGCATTATGACAGTTTTAAAAGTTCTGAACCACATGTCGAGGCACTGACATCGTTTTGGGAAAAAGAGCACGACCCATACATTTTAACGCACACCATGAATGCATCTTCCCTGTGACACACGTTTTAAAGAATGTCCTTATTATAAAAATATACTTAAAACACAAATCTACAAAACCATCTTTAACAAGACAAGTTAGTCAAAGGCGTGGTTTCAAGGGGACTACTTGGTGAGAAGTGAGGGACAGGATCAAACCTCGGGACACCGATAACGAGTCACCCCACGGTCTTGAGCAACTTTGCTCACTCTTCATCTCCCGCTGCCGCTTGCCAGGGAGGAATGTGAAATTCTTCACACAGACACTCGGTGGAATTTGGAAATGTGTAGGATGAAAATCTGATCCCACGTACTCCAGATGGCAGACACGGCGCACTGTGAACTCTAGACCGGCGAGCTAGAGAGAAACCTTACGGAAGAAAGCTTCGGACGCGTCATGTCACCTTGTTATCGTAGCTGGCTGCGCCATCGGGCGTGGTCGCCATGATTTCTGGAGTGGAAGCTCTTAAGTGTCCTGGGCTCATGATGCTGGGCTTCGCGACCCCGAAGCAAAGAATGAGGTAGTTTCTCCACAAGGTGACGTAGTTGTCCCCACTGCTGGCGGTGCTGGTTTTCTTGGCATTAATTGGGCTACTGGAAATAAGGAGTTGAAAGCAAGAATGAAGGTAAGTTCTGCAGTGTAAACATCACATATGGAATCTGGACCCCACGAGGCGCCCGCATAGAGCTGGACGGTCACTGTCCAGGATTGTCTGGACAGGGAAGGTCACTACGGGAGGGGACGTGAATGATGCTGCCCACCAGTAAGGTCTGAGATCCTGTACTCAGACAATCATACTGATTATTAAAGAACAAAACAAACGAGCCTCTATAGACAAGAACTTTGGACCTGTTTTCTACTCCACATTAAGAATTCCGCCTTGGGCAGTTTGGAAACTGGAAACCGGAGAGGAAGCGGCAACTGGAGAGAATCCCACACCCGGAGAGGATGCTACCCACCGGAGAGCATCCTAGCAACAGGAGAGGATGCTACGATCAGAGGATGCTACAAACGGAGAGGATGCTGCAACCAGAGAGGATGCTGCAGTATCCCAATCTCTCATATGGGATGAAAACGGAAGAGGGCACATGGTGGACCAGGCGGGAGGGAGGCACAACGCAGACCCTTACTTGGGGTCCACCAGAGGCATGACCGACTGGAGCCGTGTGAAGGCGTAGGGCCAGGCGTAGCTGAGGGCCGTGGGGCAGTGCTTGGGGAGGTTCTCCTGCCGCAGGAAGCTGAACAGGCAGAGGACCCAGGGGTCTTTGACAGACTGAGCGAATATCCAGACGTGCGATGGGCTCTTCACGTCGTAATGGCTGTTGACCAGGACCGCGTTCCACTCTACCAGCCACTGCAGATCCACGCTGTGGGTCAGCGGTAGGGTGGCCTGGGGGCAAGTGGGCAATGAGTCAACGCCAGGCTGTAAACTGCATGTCCTCGACACGGCTGTGACTTGTAAACGTCCCCCTGCCCCTCCCACGTGAGACCTCCGTTTGCAGTCATCTGTTTTGTAGGCTGGATGGCAAGCAGCTGACGCACAAGGATAAGGATGGGTCATACTCTGTCCAGCTTTAATGCCACATTGCACAGTGCATTACTATACAGCAGCTGCGCCTCAACATGTATCTTAATAAATACGTGATGTCCGTTAATTCAAACTTGTTCATGGATTGGCCTTTTAAAATTCTGAGAAGTTATTAATCTCTGAGATCCACAAATGTGTTTTAAATCCCCGTAATTATTTATTTACATTTTTATCCATGATCTTATTTAATTTTACTTGGATCGAAATAAATAACTTCCCTCTGATTTTGGGAGAGGGATTGAAATACCGTCCCTCTGACTCCCTTTTGCGAAGGGCATTTTACTGATGATTTTTTAAGGTGAGATACCTACTTGCCCTTTGTTATCAAGCCAAAATAATACGTTCTAGAACTATTGAAAGATGTCGATATCTGTATCTTTTTGACTGTCTATCCAGCCAGCCATCTTTCTATCACACTTAAGTTCTTACAATTCATTTTAAGTCCAGAACATCAAAGTCTGGGGAAGAGCAGGTTTCAAATGATCTGGCTATTGTGCCATGAGAGAAAACTGCTTTTATGTCTGTTAGGCATTTAAAGTGACCCATTTTCTCTGCCAGGTCTAGGTGTCCCCACGGGTCAGAGGCCGCACGAGTGGCCTTGTGGTGAACGGGCCGGAGACAGGAGATTCCAGGCCAGGCTCAGACCACAGCCTGTGACCTGGAAAATCGCTGGCCACCCCAGAATGATTCGCGGACGGCTTGGGAATCACAACGCTGCTCCCACTTGTCTTCCCGTGGCTCACATGGGGTAAGGGACGCAAGAGCACCTGGTGCAAAGCAGGCACCGTGTCCCCCGCCTCCTCTCCCTCTCTGCAGACCTACTGGCCTAGGTACCCCGGCTTAAGATTTCAAGTCTGATAAACACAGACCAAAATCACAAGAGCTAAATATAACCTGCAGGGAAATAAGACACGTGGCCTCTTTAAACTGGACTCTTCCACTCCGTGTCAAACGTTCTGAATTTCTAAAGGAAAAGGGGTCTACGCCACCAGAGAGTTTTAGTAATTATCATTATTACTGCAACCACAGCAAAAATAGGGGTCTGCGTTCAATTTCTGTTAGAAAAGTCCAGGGAAAGCTCATAAACTTCTTTTGGTTTTGTATCCACTCGTAGCTATTTGTCAATCACGTCCGTATTCGTTTCTAGTTGTCTGACGAGGATGCACGGGGGCATTCGCCACGTGGAATCTGCAAGCAGTCGGATCTGCCCTGCCCTCAGCCGCGGAGCTGACATTAATCCAGGTTCCATATTGCATATATATATATTTTAAGGTAATTAAAATGAGTCTATTTCTCTTCTACTTGTTCAGGAAACTGAACACATGGCTGCTGCTGTGTTCTTTGTAAGGAAGAACACATTCGTGGGGCAGATCGAGCTCTGTCAGAGTCCAGTTGGGCTCCGGTCCGGGCCCTAATGCTGCCTCCTCGGTGACTCCAGCCCCACGCTGCTTAATGCCTTTGCGTCTCAATATCTACGAGGGTCAAAACGGTAGTAAGTGTGACAGCACCCTGTAAACTGTAAAGCACCATGTAAATATAAGTTACAGGTAGTGCTACGTATAATAGATAAGGCACGTTAATTTTCTTAAAGAAGCCTGAGCAATTCTTCTTGAAACTGCAGTTTCCAACAGATTATATTCCTAAGGCTCGAATTCTGTTTGAAATTTATCTGAGCATCTGCTAAGCCAGTACTTGAAAAGCTCACCTGGTTTTCCTAGGTGCTTTTGTATCAGTTTATTAATCTGACGCAAAAGCCTGGATTTTTTTTCCACATCATTTTTGTCTCTCTTTTCAGACAAGTCCAGAGCTTACACAAAAGGAGTGGCAATCAGGGTCAAGTGTGTACTCACTGAGTCCGAGACGGCCACGTGGATGAAACTGTCGAGAATGGAAGAACTCAGCTGGTCCATCACATCGATCACAGGCCTGTCGTCGTCCTGCGAGAGGGGAGGTGGTTACTCCCCATGGGAAAACGAGTCTCCACCCCACACACCGCCCCGTTTGTACACGAAGCAGAACAGCCTGCAAGATACGATGAGTTTTTCTCACAGAAAAGGGTGTGCCAAGACGGCGAAAGGCACAGACGATACGCCCCGTGCTTCTGAGTTGAGTCTTTCAAGCGTCAGAGGCTTCCCACCCCGCACGCCGCCCCGTCTGTACACGAAGCAGAACGGCCTGCAAGATATGATGAGTTTTTCTCACAGAAAAGGGCGTGCCAAGACGGCGAAAGGCACAGACAATACGCCGTGCTTCTGAGTTGAGTCTTTCAAGCGTCAGAGGAAGATCATTCCGGCTCTTAGATGTGGCACAGAAAGGCCACATCCCCGAATTTCAGAAACTCAAACATGCACCCAAGAATCTAAGTCTTGGAGCCGGACGTCATTCACTGCAGTGTGTGTGTGTCGTCGTTAACTTTAGGGAACGGAAACCCCACGGAACAATGCTTTGCCAGGCCACTAAAGTGCTACTTACTGAAGTCACTGACCCGCTAACATAACTGGTAAATTGCTGACTGTGGCTGATTTTTAGTCCCACAGAAACCACAGTGGAGACCGACCACACGCTCTGTGTGGCATCTACGTCGTTGTCCAGCTATTCAGTCAAGAAGCGGACTGGAAGGGGCACGAGAGGCGGCGTCCTATAGGAATTCTCCTGTGTGAACAGTGATGTGCGTGTATGTATATGAGTATGTGTGGGCTCGCCATCCTTTACTACAGAGAAGCTGTAGTATAAACAATATAAAATTGTTCATTTAGGAGCCTTAGAGCAAAGCCTTGGACAGTCTTTCTCATGTAAGAGAAGGGTTTCAAAAAAGTTGGGGCTGCTCAAAGAAAGCCACGCTGCTAATGGGCTGCTGGAACAGCAGCCAAGGACGCTGGCCTTTAGAGACACCTACACCTGGCTTCCATTTCTGGCTCGGTCATGTCCCAGCTGCTGATTTGGGGGCTTCTAACCTCCCTAAACCTCAGGCTCAGGATCTGTAAGAATAACCATATGTGTTCTTAGGGTTATCGTGAGGGTTAAATGAGATAATATGTGCAGAGCGCTTATACGGTGCCTGGCACATCCACGGAAATCATCATCATCATCATCATCATCATCATCCATCATCCATCCTCCTCCTCATCATCATCAGAGACTTAACGGCAGTTTACCAAAACAGAGCATGTCTCATGTATCCATTTGCCAGATACCAGAGATATGCTCTTAAAATATATCAGGAAAAAAGCTATCTCAAAAAACGTGAATGAAAAGGACCGAGATGGTTGAAAATGTTTTCTAAAGACTGTGACCACCCTGAGGATCGTAAAACCAAGACCAGCGATTCAAAACAAGGACATGGAAGGTGGCCTTTTCCTAAAGTATGTGACATAAAAAGCTGTCCCTACTCTCATCACCTCATGCCTAGGGTCTGGCCATCTCTGCTGTCAGGTGATGAGCCGGAGCACTGAACAAGGGTGCACGCACTGGGCCGTGTATGGGCGGGTAGCTGGAGCTGTCGGCTAAAGTCAGGCTTAACCACAGGCACCCTTCTTCCCTCTCCAGGGGATGTGTTTCCTTGGGACGCCATTTCTCTACCGTTATAAAGATTCAACAACTTCCAGTCAGCCACACTGCTCGGAACCTTGATCGTTTTCAATGGGATGCATTATTTTTTCAAGTCTGTTCTTTAATATAAACATAATATTTTTTTCTTAATCTGACATATGCCGAACGTTATCAAGGGAAATGATCTGTGACCTCATCTTAAAATTCTTCGCGTCTTCACAAGCACCAACTCTTATAAAATCAGGAACAGGCTCTTCTATTGCCCTCAGAATACATGAGTTATCTCTTGGTGATCACGTGCTAGTGCATAATTAAAAGGCCGCCACGAATCAAAAACTATTCCGTGGCGTCACGGGTGACACAGAACTACATAAAATAGTAACGCGTTATTTGTCCTTTTTACTCTCACTCCCAAACTGCTGGAAGCCACGAATTGGAGAATTCGGAGGAATGGTCCATACCTCAGGCTGACCCAGGGCAAGAAACAGCGCTCGGATTTCCTTGAGTATTAAAACGGACAGCTTGCGAGTAGCTACTTGGAAACTGCAGAGCAAAACCAGGGCGAAGCCTTCCACGGCGTGGAGGACGCCACAGTGGGGCCCTCGTTCCGACTGCATTCGGTGGCTGGAGCCGTTTGGGATTAGCTGTCACGCAACAAGAACAACATTCTGTATTCAGAAAAATAACAGCGGAAGAAGAAACTACTTTCATGATGTACATCTTTCGGCACATTCGACCTTGTGACGTTAAAATAGATCACAACGGCTCATGTCTATGAGTTCATTATTATTCGTGAAATGTCATCGATCCCTTTTTGTTTTTAGATCAATTGTTACTCTGGAACACCATCGACTGTCTGTCGCCTGTGATAAGAAATAACTTTTCTAAGGCTATTAACACTAATAAAAACAAAACTGCTTCTATCCACATCCTTTGGAATTGCACGATATAATCAAAGTGGCCTAATTTGTTGTTACTTAAATTCTCTATAAACTTTTGGATACCATTAAACTGAATTTTCAGTCGTTCGCTTCCTAACGAGATTTGCTAACTTGCTTTTGTGTGAGAGTTTAATCCAGCTTTTGCACGTTGATGAGATGGGTTCTGAATGTCTCCAAACTGCAACCAGGTGAGTCTACAGCAGCGGCCAGCCAGACGCCAGGGCAGGCTCCCCCCTCACGTCGGTTTTCCTTCTACTAGCATATGGCCCTTGTTTTTCCACACTGCCTTTTGGCGCATGTAGAACACGGGGAAGGAGAATGACCTTGACCGCGACCTCATCCCTGAGGTCAGCCCGTTGGGATGGAGGCTGTCCCCTAAATGCTGTTGTACTTCCCTGAGCTGGTCCTCGGACCCCGAGCTATGCCATCCTGTGGCCGGACCCCTCTCCACCTCCCTGCCTTGTCATTGCTGCCCTGGGGTAGTCTCCCCTCTACCCCACCCCGCCACCTGCTCTTCAGAACGTTACGGTGCAGCGGTAGCGCTCGGGGCGGAGGCGGGAGAGGATCGAGAAAGCACAGACGGCACTTCCTCCCTGTGGACAGTGGGCAACGCGACCGGTGAGTTGCCAGCTATGAGAGACAAACCGACTGCGGGCGGCTAACTTTTTACATCCGTTTCCACACCCAGCTCTAGCTCCCGGGCCCATGCTCGTTATCTCTTATCAACACATTTATAATCATAATTCTCTGGAAAAAAAAATGATTTCTACTCCCTCCACGGCCTTGTTCGTGGTGACAAACGTAACCTGTGGCACGTCACACCCCGCTCTTATCAACACATTTATAATCATAATTCTCTGGGAAAAAAAAAACGATTTCTACTCCCTCCACGGCCTTGTTTGTGGTGACAAACGTAACCTGTGGCACGTCACACCCCGATTGATGTGTGTGCTGTGGAAGTGCACGAGGGTTGGTGGGGAGGGGGCGGGTCACCTCGGAGCTCCTGAGTTTGCTGGCCTGTTCGTAGGCTTTCCCTTGCGTCTGCGTGGCCAGCTTCCACTGCGTGAGCAGCTGCAGCAGCAGCTTCAGTGAGGAGTCCAGGAGGCCGTGGTGCATGTCGTTGACCTCGCGGAGCAGGAAGGTGGTGAAGCCGAACAGGACGTCTTCCCGCCAGTCTGGGAAGTCCACCAGCAGACCCTGGAGGGAATTCTGTGCGATGTGGCGCAGCTCGTCGTCCATGTGGATGGAGAGCCTGGAAATGAACGCACGTCGGTCAAGGCGATCCCTGCACTAACCCCTTTCCTGAGCGCGTGAGGCGGCGTCTGGGGCTCTGCTTTGACGTGTGCCTAAAAAACGGGTGGCTCTCCCGCCGTTATGTTACAAGCATGTGACTACATTCTCCACTCAGCTCCCCTAACGCTGGCACCTTAGATAACCAGGGCACTCACCGAACCCAAGAAACCATGAGCGGGGCAATGGGATTCACTAAATGACAGATTTCGTCCGGATCTCCCCAGCTTTCCACTCGTGTTCCCTCCCATTCCAGAATGCAGTGTACGAGACACCACGGGGCAGTTTGCTGTGTATGAATTACTCTTCCATACCTTATTGGATGCGGAATAAATTACTATCAAATCCTTCTGCTTTTAAGGATGAGAAATCTGAGTACCGGAGAAACTAAGGGATTCGGTGAAAACGAGCGACTACAAGTTAGGCCAGGTGTCCTCAGTCAGCTTCTAGGGACACTGCGGGCCGTCGTAACTCAGAGCGTGGCATCTCTAGCAGGTAGACGCCACGGATGCTGCTAAACACCATGTGACACACAACGACCTGGTCCAAACGTGGACAGCATCGTGGCTGAGGATGCTGAGCCAGCAGCTGAGGACCGCCAGTGTATCTGCATTTAACCTAGAACAGCGTGATAACGTTAACTCTCGGCGCTGGCATGGGGTGTTGTAGCTAATGCAACGCTTATGGATTCTTTCATCCACTCAATTAGTAACCGAACGTTCGAGACCCTCCTGACTCAGGCGCTGTGCTGCTGCCTACGGCCCTCACAATGTGCAGTTCTGCATGGCTGTGTCTAGAGGGTGGGTGCTGTGAGGGCCAGTGCTGAATGGGGAAGGGTCGCTGGGCCACCCGGGGAGGGCTCCAGCAGGGAAGGGGTTAAGTGTGTGTGTCCCGGAATCAGAGTGCCTGAATCAGAGACTTGCTTCTGTCGCTCATCAGCCATGTGATCTCACGCTAGTTACCTCATCTGTCCAAGCCTAGAGCCTCATTTGGAAAGTGGTGGCAATAACTACCTGCAGCTCAGACCTGTCGTGTGGTCCACCGAGGGGACCCGGGACGGTGTGTGGCACCACACGGAGCCTGTGGTGAGTGCTCAGTGAATGCCAACGTTATCGTCAAAGAAATGCAAACTCCGTCCGGAAAGTTACAGAAGAGAACAGCGGAGGACGTCCTGGGAAGCGACAAGACTGCGGGCAGGGAGCGGCTGGGAGGCCACCGCAGCAACGCAGGCACAGGGGGCCTGGCCCGAGGCAGAGCCGTGCCGAGGGAGGGAGGGATGGAGGTCCAAGGCGGGACCTCTCGAGAACACTTGCTCGTTGTTCCCCCGCATCAGAATGGTGCCCACTGCGTTGGGCTTCGTGGGGACAGACACAATGGCAGCGCCACAGACAGTGCTGGCCCTCCGGTGAGTCCAGCGGCGTGCCCTCCCCACGCGCCCGCACCCCGGTCCAGAGTCAGGCATCACTACAGGCCAGCAGGGTGACTCCAGAGGCAAGAGCCTCCCACACGGGTTTACAGCAAAATGGGGACTGTGCCGGAACGCGGTGTGACGTTTACAAAACTTAGGATTCCAAAGGCCACCTGTACCTCTCGAGGCCAATCCCAACTTCGTTGAAATGAGCGACCTTTCCTTGTACCCCAAGTGAACCAGTGACTGCTTTCTGTGACCACGGTGTCCTTTGGATTAACCGCAGCACAGACATCTGCCTCGATCAGCCCTCCCAACGGTCTTGTGAGAAAGGCAGCGTTATTCCGGTTTTCCGGAGGAAAAACGACAGGCAAGGGCTCAGGTCGTTGGTCCGGGAATGCGGCCCCGCGGGCATGCAGAATGCCGGCTTTCCGAATGGTTCGGTCTCACCCCTTTCTGGTACGTCCTCCGAGCCGCTCAAGTGCTCGCGTCCGTGCTGGTGGCTCACGGGCTTGTCCACTGTCGTCCGTGGCAAAGGGACAGGCTGCCCCTTTACATTTCTGGGTCATCTGGGCCCTTGTGTCACAGCCTTTCTTCATTTCTGCCGCCGCCCCGGGAGACAGTATTGGCACGAAGGACCTTTAGAATGTATTATTCTCCAGGGAGAGTGTGGGTGACGAGGTCACCCACATCCCACGCAGCTGCCGTTCAGTCGGCACCCCCACTCGCTCCTTCTCCGGGCTTTGCTCTATTCCATCATTATCAGATTAACCAGCTCAAAATGGCATTTTTCATCGTGACGTCCTCCCGCTTAAAAACTCCATCGGTCTAAACACCTCAGCTGATAGTAACGGTTAACTGAAAACCTGTCCCTCCAGTCTGATTTCTGTTGGTCGCTGGGTTTCTCACCTCCTCCTCTTGCTTTATTTTTTCTCCCTCAAACCCAGGATAGCTTTGGTTCTCTCCCCGTCCATTCTCTCCGTGCGTCTGATGTTTCTCATGCGGTGCGCCTTCTAAATGGCATTTAGGGAATATGTCACTTCTGACATTTAACTTAAGGACAGGCGTTAACTGTCAACTGGCCCTGGAGGCCGCCATGAGGAAATGAAGCTTACTGAACTGAAATGATGTAATTTCACTCAAACAAATTAACTTCAGTTCAGGTTCTGAGTATACCACGCCCGTGGGGAGTCGGGGATGAAGGTGCTAAGTATAAGATTTGGGGTAGCTTTCTAAAATACGAAAATCAGCTTAGGACCCCGTTCCCACCTTCTTGGCCCTCAGAATGGGATTAGACCCGAATGAACCTTTCCCAGCTGCTAGTCCCCTTATGTGTTGGCTTCTACATTGCATTTTAAACCCCTCGACCACGGGGAAAAAACAATAAAACGTTCACTCCTCCCTACACATAATACCTAGAGTAATGCCGCATTGGGTAGGTGTTGATTTTTCAAAATCATTTTATTTTCTTAGGAATCATGGCAAAGGATTAAAGTCAACTTGACCGACAGCGCCCACGACAGCCTCACCCACCTGGCCAGCAAGTCGATGAGTTCGAGTTTTGACATCCCGTCAGGAAGCAGTCGAGGGATGGCAGCAACGCACGTTCTGAAAAGGTCTATTTTTGGCTTCCTCTCGCCCCTAGAATGTGAAAACCAAGTTCAAGCGCTGCCAAAGGTTATGAAAAGCTTTTTTAAAAGTCGATCGACTCTGTGAACAAAGACTCAAACCCACGTCTTCCTGAGTCCCCTTCTGGTGTTTGGTCTGTATTATCCTTGAATGATTTTAAGAGAACTTAGAAAGAGCTGCATGTTGGACAGAGTTATGTAGCTGAAAAGAAAGATGTTGGTGCCTTGCAACATATAGAGCTGTCCGCCCATTTCTGATTTTTAAAGTTACACTGATGGGCCCGGCGTCCACAGAGATAGATGCCTTCTCTCTTACCACTTTGAGACCATGAATGTTGAAAAGTAATTGATGCCTTCTATACTGTGTTGTAAAATCCGAAGGAAAAATGTAAATTTTGTGATAAATGATTTCCCTATTTGTTTAAACAGGTAGCTGCCTTCTTAACCACATATATTATCAATAACCTTTGTGGAAAACCTTACCTACCGATCAAATCTTTCAAATAACCTAAGTGATAAAACAGGATATTTAAATTCTATGATTTAGTCTTCTGAGAATAAACATAAAATCACCATCGAATCGTAGGACACAAACACAATAATGAAAATGCAAAGCAGCATAGCAGTACTTCCTTCTTGGATCAGTCACTGTGGTCAGAATAGAAATGCAATAAACAGAATCCATCCTCTGTAATCTTAAGAAGATTGTCTCTTCTACATTATAAACTGCAAACTGCTTTAATATATTCAAAGACTATGTAATGCGGTTAAAGATTTGTTGACAGAGTGAGAGTCTGGGGGTGTCTCCTAATCGTTCACGTTTAAAAGGTCCTCCTACTTTGCTCAGCAGATGTTTAAACAGCTGGGATTATTTCCATATCTGTCGGGAAACGGACGACCCCGCTTGGCCTGAGGAGTAAGGAATTCTTGCGGGCTCCCAAGCTGATAAAGCGAGTCTGGCTTAGAGGCGCTAAGTGGCGTGTGATTTCCGTGCATGCCTGCGGTCCTAGCTCTCTGGGCTTACAGGAAGTGTGCGAACCCCCCAAACATAATTTTTATTAACATGTTACATGATAATATAATTATATAATAATGGTGATAAAACAGTAATTACTATTATCTGCTAGCATGAACCAGAAAAGGGATGAGAAATGGAAACGGAATGACATAGACTGCTCAGTGTTCAAGTTCATACCTTGAGCAGGGCCTGGGAAGGTCACCTCCGAGGACTGTTAGTGTGGTGTGGGCCTCAATGCTTTCTCCTAAATGTTTACATGGTTCCCTAATGTTTCTCTTTGTGTATTTTTTTTTTTTTTTAAAGAATGTAGCAATGTGTTATTTTCCACTCAGGGATCTGCCTTAAGACCTCGCATGAAAAATGTTCCTTGTCTTATTTGGGAGTCTTACGATGGCCAAACAGGAAAAAATAGAGAATCATCGTGGAAAAAGTTTAAGGTACTGGTTAAAATACGAATGCACTGTTCATAGGTACATTTAAACTGTGTCCTTTTATGATTCTGAACACATTGTTTTAGTCCTGACCCTATCTTACCGTCTTTCATTAATAAATTTGTCCTCTAAAAGTCTTTCATTTCTTTACTTTTTTTTGTGGCAGAGTTTTTTTGTTTGTTTGTTTGTTTGTTTTTTTAAATGGCTACTTTTATGTTGATATCCGAGGAGAAGCTGAGACAACCCTCGGCCGGGGCGCTTCCACCAGAATTGAAATATATCACACAGTGCGGCGGAAGTTTTCAAAGCATTTCTTATATCTCCTGCACTATAAATTGGAAATCGCTTTAACATGTTCACAGAGTACGTAATAAGGAGGTTGAAGGCTCACTGACGACCTGGCAGCCAGCGAGGTAAGAACTAGCGCTACCGACAGCGTGCTTCATGTCGTCGGCCCTCCTCAGTCCCAATCCTGCTGTCATTTTGGTTGTAAAATCTAAAGCGACGTGATCGTCATATCATTTCAATCAAAAGACTGGCAAGCTGCGAGAGGACATGCGTTGCATAGTCTCATTTTTGTAAAAGATAATGTATATACGTAGAGTTGTGTTGACACAAGGAAAGGTCTGGAAGAAATAGCACTGGGCCAAAGAATGGTCACAGATTTGCAGTGCAGCTCTGAGGAAGAGGCTTTCATTTTGACTTTCGTACTGCTAAGTATGTATATAAAACAATTCTGTATTTCTTAGCTTATCATATTTTGTTTGTTCGTTTTTGTCATGCTTTGTTTTCAACATGCCCCTACTGTAATAAAAATACACACCCACAATATGAACTTACCTATGTAGGTAACCGCCTTCTAACTGTGGTATTTGGAACTGGACATGTTGAGTGATGAAGGAAATTTACCTAATTATAGTTTTGGAAATTTATGCCACAGGTGCCAATTATAATTTAATTCACACTCCAATGACAAAGTCCCAACACAAATTATTAATCCTAATAATTTGCTACTTTTGACACCAATAATTCGCACTCTAACAACAAAGTCCAAACTTTCTTAAAAATGTCAAGTTACGAACTAACCCTAAACCTAATTCTTTTGATTATTAATCCTAATAATTTGCTACCTTTGATTAATTATTAATCCTGATGATTAATCAAAAGTAGCAAATACAGTTTGTGTGAGTTTCTTATGCAGAGCTCCAAATGCCAATCCAGATCTGAGGTTCTGGCGGAAAGTATTTGGTTTCTACATTCGAAGGCACGAATGCTTTCTTATGAATCAGTAGGTCTATGGCACGGTTGTGTAGAGAATACTAAGCAGGTTAAACTCTCGCCGTTCAGGAACTGTCACCAGAAACACGTGCATTTGAGATTCGTAAAGCCAGAATGTCTGTGAACTGGTGATGAGATAAAGCAGGCCGGCTGAGAAAGAGCTTGGAAGAGAAATTCCACTTCCAAAAAAAGTGAGCCGGTACATGAGTCTTGGGTCCCCTTCAGTTTCTAACTTACTGGGGCCAACTGATGCTTGAGATATAACCAAAAAAGATCAATCTCAGGTTTGATCTTATTTCTAGACTTAGTCGACTATCATCAGAGTATGTTTGTTACCATCCTTAACACTTCCTAGAACTGATTCTAAGAAGATGAGAATGAAATACGGTTGTCCCTTGAACGACACAGGTGTCCCCTTTCACACGGACTTTTTTCAATATGTCCAGCACTATAAATATATTTTCCTTTCCTTATGATTTTAACATGTTCTTTTCTCTAGCTTACTTTATTGTGAGAACACAGTATTTAATACCTATAACATATGAAATATGGGTTATATGACTGTTTATCTGTAACGCTTCCAGTTGACAGAAGGCTGTCGTTAGTTGTTAAGTTTTGGGGAGTCAAAAGTTATACATGGATCTTTGCCTGTGTGGGGGTTGGTGTCCTCAACTCCTGAGTTGTTCAAGAGCCAACTGCACAGAATAAATGGGAAGAATCTCTGTTGGTGTCTTCCGGTTAACCGATTGCTCACTGTACTCACGTGATCATGTCCTCAGGTTCCTTGTTCAGCATCTGGACGTTAGTTAGCATCATACACCTTCCCACTTCTTTGTCAAGATGCCGTAAGATGTTGTCCACAGCTTTTCGTACTTGAGAGTAATATAATGACATGCCTGGAAAACGTGTGAGAGTTACACCTTTGACTAAATCTACCAGAGAATGAAAGCTCAGTTTGTATATCTTCTATGATATTTTTTACTTAAGACTTTCTAGTTGTCAATGGCTTCTTGGAGCAGAGTCCAATTCAATCTCTTATGTGCAGGACTCTGGCACAGTGCCCTGCAGAGTGGGTGTGCACCAAATAATCATTTAAATTTAATAAATAGGAATGCTAATACTTTGAAGAGAAATAGTTTCCAGGAGAGTTAAAATAAGCAAAGAAATAGAAAGTTCTGTTTTGGAATTTCCACGTTTCTGGTTTAATATAAGAAAATTCACCACTGTTGGTGATTATATGAATAAAAGATAATTCTCATTTGGGATTAGGATTTTCATAACTTCATATTATTTTCTGAAATATACATGTGGATTTCTTTTTAGTAAAATAAACAAAAGGACTTCTCATTATAAATTTTAAAGTGAAGGGAAATGTATTTCAGCTGTATTATTTTTACTGCTTTCATGTATTAATGTACATACAGCGGAAGACGAATATGTATAGCATGTATATTTCATGCATGCATTTTATATATTTATGTATGTACTGCAAATGAAAAATAAATTGCTTTGCATTTTCAATTTGTACTTTAATAAAATAGTTGGTAATGGTTATTTCTCATGCATTAAATCTTTATGGACTCATTTAAGCATGCAGAGCTAAGAATAAACATTTAAAACAAAATGTTTCCTTATGCTTCTCCTTCAGGGTTTGGAAACCAGGAACTATCTCAGCATAGTTTGTAGTAGGTTTCTAAATTCAGGTGCTCAGTCAGAAACGAACGCAGAAAAATCACCTCTTGGGATTAAGATCGCTAAATTAAAAAGAAAATAATCTCGTGTAGGCCAAATCCACAGTATAATCTGGCATATGTGGTATTTGGCATGGTTAAAACACAGCTTACACTGATTTTACTGAAGAAAAGAAGAAAAAAATGATAAAAGTGAATGAATATACACACACACAGACACAAATATAGTTGCTTTATAAAGAGCCTTATCTAACAAAGGACAGATGTCTTAGAAACTTACTGTAAATTGTAGATAATAGGAGAAGTATGAAACGGCCATGGACAAAAGTCTAACATTTAAATGGCAATGTGTTTACCACAAAGTTCCAAAAAGCTTAAAGGGCAGGAAAACAAATCCCAGTATTGAGTCAAACGGCACGATCACGTTGGAATGTTCCATCAGCTACTTTTACGAAGATTTTTTTCAAAGTGCATCTCACTAAGGGTAAGTATGTCCAGTCATTCTAAAGGTGTAATAAGGTCCAGAGCTAACTCATCTTTGAACCCACCTATCATTTTGGCTTCCTCTTCTGTGAGTGTTTTACTCAAGTATGTTTTCTTCACTCTCAGTGTGTTTCCGGAAGGGAGAACGGCGCCTGTAACGGGCATGGGGGGCTCGCCATCTTTCTGCTGCAAGCTATCCGCGATGACCAAGAACGCCCGCAAGCCGATGTTCATCCTCTGGGAGAGACAGCATGTTCAGGATACAAGCAAAGACCCAACCATTGCAGTGCAGTTAAACCATCAGCTTTTTAGAGAAGCTGAGCATGGCCCGCCCTCTAGATTATACTAATCTAGTAAAAGGCACAGGAGTTTAGGCTGAACCTATGAAAACAAAATTAAGTTTCTGCCACTATCCGTTGCTGCACCACAAGAAAACAGCTGGGAAGAGTTTCAACAATCTTGGAAGGTATGTTTGCGATGGTCGCACTCTTATTTGGGGGATCCTGGGTGCATCCCAAAAGGACAGGCAGTCACCCTCTGGAGCCGCTGCAACTAAGGTAAACTGAGGCAAAGATAAAGCTCTGCATCTCCGGGGAAGAGAGAGATGCCACGTGTGTTGATTCACAAAGACTGAACAAAACAGGCGTTCTGAACGTGAGTCACCAAACAAAAATCGTCTGCTTTTAATTGCAGGTGGCTGACTTTTGATTTACAAAAGCTAGCAGGTTTGAAAATAAATTTTAAAAATGCAATGCCACAGAATCTGTTATGGATAAAAAAAAAATACACAAATTTATAAGAAACGCCGTTCTGGGCCGGAACGTTATCTTCCACAGGCCCAAGTAAAGCATAATACTGGCTCTGGAAGGTGACTCGGTAATGGGCTCCCAGTAGCAATAGTCTCACAAGGCCAGAAGACACCAAAGCATCCGTACTTCCTTAAACAGCCGTGTGTAAAACATTTACATTCACGTTTTCAAAACTCATGAAATAGTACGTTCCGAAAGCGAACTACTACTATTCTATTCTAGGCCTAATCCTGGCAATCCAGACAGAATTTATCTATTCTGAATAAAATGTATTCAGAACTGCTCATCAACTCTCGTCTTTAAAACAGCCATGCAAGGAAGGTATGATTATTCTCATTTTTCAGGTGAGGAAACTGAGGCCACCTAACGAGTGAGTGGGAAGCTATACGTCGAAGCCAGGTTTTGCCCGAATCACCTATTCTGGGGTCCCGGACTCCATTTTTTAACATAAAGTAATATTGGTTTCTATTCATTTTAAACTATTTATTCTAGCTGCAGGAGTAATAATATTCCGACTAGGATTTTGTGGCAGTGTCTCTGGCTCATTTATACCCAATTCGACGTGTACTTTGTGATTTTGTGGTCTTTAATAATACCCTCTCTCCGTTTTCTAGAAAGAACGAGTATTAACTTTAAAAATCTTAACTGGATATTAACATCCATTAGCGCCCTCGTGTATTTTAGTAGTTCTTCCATGGAACGTTTTCTAGGCTTGCGTATTTTTTTGAGTTTCGAGAAACGTGTGTAGTCAGGCAGCCGCCATCACAGTCAAGGAATAAAATATTTCCATCGTCCCCCAGAGACCCCTCGTGCCTCTCTCTTCTCAGTCCCCCGACCCCAGGGTCTGACAAGCACCATCCTACTTCTGCCTGTAGCTCTGCCTTTTCCAGAACGTGACAGAAATGGAATTGAACAGCACATAGCCTTTGCGTCTGGCTTCTTTCACTTCACATGACACTTCTGAGATGTTGCTGAAGGATCAGAGGCTGCTTCCTTTACACTGTCGGCAAGTACCCCACTGCACCGATGGTTCAGTTTGATGAGCCATTCACTGGCGCCTGAACTTGCTCTGATTTCTTAGGGTTAGTGAGTGTGAGTATGGCGGCTGTATGCATTCACGCCAGCCTCCGTGGATGTTTGAATTTCTCTTGGATAAATATCTGGAGGTGGAAGAAATGCTGTCATACGGTAGGTGTCTGTTTAACCTTCTAAAAACTGCCCTGCCGTTTTCTAATGTGGCCGTACATTTTTGCATTCTCACAAAAATAACGTGACATTGCAACTGCTCTGGATCTTTCTCGGCACTTTTCATTGTGGTTCGAACTTCCTTTTTCCCAATGACTGATGTTGTTGACATCTGTTCATGAGCTTGTTGGTCACTTGTGTCTCTTCTTTGCTGAAGAGGCTGTTCATTTTGCCCATTTAAAAAAAAAAATTTTTTTTTTTTAATTGTTGAGTTGGGAGAGTTCTTTATAAATTCTTAATGTAAGTGCTTTATCAGATACGTGTTTTGCAAATACTTTCTCCCGGACTGTGACTCTACACTTTATGAAGAGTGTCTTTTAAACCACAGACATTTTATATTTTGATGGTGCTCATTTTATTTTCTTTTGCAATTTATGTTTTTGGTGTCCCGAGTAATATTTTGCCCACAAAGATTTTTATCTTCTGTTTTCTTCTGGAAGATCTGTAATGTTGGATTTTAATTTTAGGTTTGTGATTCATTCTGAGTTAATTTTTGCCTACGGTGAAAATTATAGGTGAGGGTTGTTACTTTCCAGTGGTTGTGCAATCGTTCAGCTCCGCTAACCGGAGAGGCCATCCGTTATCACTGAAATGACTTGGAACTTTGTCCAGAACCCTTGACCGTACCTGTGTGGGTCTATTCCTGGGGTTCTAGTCTGTTCCGTTGGTCTTTATCGTCATCCTTCCGCCAGCACTGCCATTGGAGTTTTACAGAGAGTTTGAAATCAGGACATGCTAGCCCTCCGATTTTATTCTTTTGCGAAATTGTGTTGGTTATTCTAGTTCGTTATACTTTCCACATAAATTTTAGAAAAAGCGATCATGCTAAGGGATTTTAATTGGGATTATTATTGGGATTATTGGGAACAACTTACCTTTTTAGAATCTTAAGTGCTTCAGTGCGCAATTTAATTGGGATTATTATTGGGATTATTTGGGAACAACTGACCTTTTTAGAATCTTAAGTGCTTCAGCGCGCAAACAGGAGTTCTCTCCATTTAGCTGGGATTTCTGATTCCTCTTAACTTTTAGTTTTCAGTATACAAATCTTGCATATATTTTGTTAGCTTTCCTGCTAAGTCTTTTGTTTTCATTGCTACTGTAAATTGTTCAACTTCTACTTGTTCATTCCTACAATATAGAAATACATTGAGTTTAAACATTTCTCTAATATCTTGGAAACTTTCTAAAATAACTTATTAGTTCTAGTAGTTTTTCTGTATATTCTTTGATATTTTCTGTATAGGCAATCATGTCTCTGAATAAAGTAAGTTTTATGTCTCCTTTTTAAATCCATATGCCTTTTATTTCTTCTTCTTGCTTCTGGCACTGGCTAGGACCCCCAGTTCCATGTTATTAGATCAAGACAAACATGAGAGAAATGGGGGGCCGAGAAATCCTCTCACAGGCGAGTGAATTCTTAAGACGACGAGGGTGAGTATCGGACACCATCTAGGCCTGAACAGACACAAGATGCTTATCTGGAAATCTCCTGTTGGGTGGTGGTGTGATACACGCTCTGCGGTAAGATCACTCTTCAGCTCCCTGGGCCTCGTTCCACCGGCTGCTTCCGAAATGCTATTTAAGACCCAATCTGGATTTGTTTCTTGAGAAATTGTGCCTCATAACATATGTCATCAAGCGTACGCCATCTTCTGAGTGGACTAGTCTCGCCCTGTGTGTGCTGTCGAGCGGGGTCAGGGGTAGGCCTCTGAGCTTCTGGTTACCAACTACTGATAAACCAACTCTTCTACAACCGTATAAGGTCAAGAGAAATAGAAGATACTCGAATATCTCCTATTTTTTGACAGTTTTTTAAAAAACTGTAACTCCAACTGCTCTTCACAGAGAGGTTAAGTAATCCATCCTTGACTGGATGAGAGAAGAACTGAGGGTAGATGTCACAGATGGTGATAATGATGGTGGCAGCTTTCAATGCTCCTTTTAGACAAACAACCCGGTAACTCTGATAGTTGATTGTAAAAGATAGTAGAGCCCTGTCTCCTAAGAAGTGAAAGATATTTGGAGAACATTCCGAGCAAGGGAAGTTTGGGGTCTGGGTCCCAATCCAAAATGGACCAAAATGCCCTGGGTTTGCACGGGCTCTCTGTCTCCCTCACTGGCCCATGGGCCATGGCTGCAGCCATTCCAAAAGCCATGATGTCATTACACGACAGAAACTCTCGTCTGGGGGCTTCTCCAGCTGTCCTCAGACCTGTGGCAACCTGAGCACCAAGAAGAGATCCAGGCTGTGGTGGGAAGAAGGTGGGGTGCCAGGAGACCCGGGCTCCCTTTGCTAACAAGCAGCCACTTATTTCGAGCTTCTGGCCTCTGCGTCTCCTTCCTCACCGACAGAATGAAGGAGCCAGACGACGCCACAGTGATGACAGGAACAATCTTCAAAAAAATTTCTTAGGGTGTGCAATTTTTTTCTTTTGATCTGCGTCCGAGTTTGTAATATCGTGAACGTCACAATTCTGCGAGGTGATGTAGAGAGTACGTCGTCCATCGCGCTGGTGGGAAGGCTGAGGTCCAGGGAGGTCAAGGCCATACCACCGGTAAAAGCAGCAGTGTCTGCGGCAAGTGGGTGACCCAGCTCCGCGGACTTCCGGTCCCGCGCTCTCCCTGCGGCCCCACAGCGAAGGCCGCACAGAGGCGGCTTGCCAGGCGTACTTTTCTCAGCCAACGGTGCTTTCTAAACTTGAACTTGGAAGGTGCTTCCCCCTTGCCCAGGCCCCACTACTCCGCGCTGTGTCTCATGCTGTGTCACTTGCTTCCACGGCCCGCCTGGCCCCGAGTGTGAGGCTGTCTCAGAAACACGCTGGCATATGTCGCTTATTTAACCTCCCTGGATTTTAGGATTTTATTTGTTCCTTTGATTCATCGCTTCCCAATACTCCGCTTGTCAATGTGCGTCAGAATAGTTGGAAGTGAAAGTACTGACTTTTCTAAGACAAAACCACCTATGCTGTAGTGAGGTTATCTTTTTTGGGGGCCAAAATTTACTCAATCATGTGAGATCAGAACATGGTAGCATGTCGACCCTTAGCGTTCTAAGCCTATTCACCCAAAATCCTACTTCTAAAATTCCTCCTCTGTACTGTTTAGTCAAATTACACGGACAGACACAGATAGGAGACTTTGGAAAAGATGTCGTCACCCACCCCTCGAAGTCACAAATGTGTGGCTCTGCCAATGCCCCCCGCTGCTAGAAATACCAGAGAAGGGTCATTCGTACCTCTGGGTTGAGACTGAAAGCTTTGGCTGGCTTTCCCACGCAAAGAAAATCAAAAATGATTTCTTTCATTGCAAAATCTAATCGCTCCTGTAGTGAAAAAGAGAAAACCAAACAAAAAAGTGTGAAAATACAAACTAAACATGAAACGTCCACTTTCGTCGCATGCACCAAACAGGCGGCTGCTAAGGAGAAGAGGGGTCCTGCTCAGTGTCACCGGTCACCATACCCGCCAAACCGCTTTAGCCGCTGGTACTTCCTGAGGGGGTGACCGGCTACCCGAAGGCAGTGGGAAGACTCCGTTACCTGGGCGATGAACTGAATGATTTTCACGAAGATGTTGAGAGGCATATCCCGGGGCACCACGCCGCGGGACCCTTTGGGGAAAAGAGTGGCGATGATGGTGATGAGCCGGCTGAAAGATAAGGGGAGAGAGAGAGAACAAGGAGGATGGGCTGAGCCCAGTTCCTCACGGAAAACGGAAAACAGCAGGTGCGCCATCTTATCTGAGTTATCAGAGTCACAAGAAAACAAACCACTGCATCCTTTCTCCATTAGCATAATTACTCTGTGAAAACTGTTTCTGGAAAACTAAGGGCAGTGGGGAAAATGGCAGCCACTTCCTTTGTTAAGGTGACAAAGGCAGCCCTGGACATGGACCCTGGCCGTCCTGGTCGAGGCTGGAGTTTCTATCACGGCTGCCGGCCCAACGACTCAGGAGAGCCTGAAGATGTCCTGAGTACTGAGATCTTCTAGAAAGTGCCAGCTTCGACCAGCTTCTGGCTGGGTCAGCGTAGGTAAGCAATAAAACGAAACACTCTCTCCAGTGGCTGAGGGACGTGTGGCCACGAAGCCACGCTGGCTCCTTACCTCTGAGTAGCTGTGTTGCTTTCGCATTTAATTCGAATCATGTAAACCCAAAGTAACCTGTACAGAGATTCCAGGGCAACTCGGGCCATCTTGGGGTCTTTATTCTACGACAGAAACCAGCACGTGAGATTGAGAGTAAACAGAGACAGGCGTATGACAATTATTTTCTGGATGCTGGGACACCGAAGGCCCCGGGTGGGTGGCAAGTCACCCATGAGGCACACCCATCGTTGGGGACTCATGGGGTCTTTGCTCCCAGTGTCCATGGGGTAAATCATCTATGACGAGGGACCCAAAGAGCCCTGAGGCTGAAACAGAGGCGTTCTGGGGGAGGCTTGTCATCCTCTCCGTGGCCAAGGTGAACACTTGAGACTGCCTTCCTCCTCCGGCTCCAGGGAACCCGATCGGCCAAGAGAAGAACCGATCTGTCCTATGTCACTGTGTCCTGGTAGACGCTGTTACCGCCTTGCTTCCCTAGCCCTTGCCCCCCACCTCCCGTCTAACCACCCTCCAGCGTTTACTGGGACAGCTGTGTGGCAGGCGCCCTGCTAGAACCAGGCCACCGAGAGGAAAGATCACCTTTTCCGCCAGGTGGTCACCAACTGTGGGGGACGCGGACGGAATATAAACGACTAAGGTGTCAGAAAACCGGCAGGGGCTGGGGCTGGCAGATGGAGAGAGGTAGCCGGTGGCAAACCCAACGAAGGAAGCAGGAAACGGTTTCCGGGGGCGGACGGAAACACAGGCGAACCTCCACCCCTCACCCGTTCACCTAGCAAACACCTGAGCGGCCACATGGGCCAGAGACTGTGTGTGGCACTAGGAACCTGGGACTGTGTGAACAAACGGTAGGGAAGGAGAGCATTTTAGGTGACAGCACATGGACGCCAGGAGAGCTAGTGAAGAGGGGCCCCGTGCCAGGGCCTGGGGCCCAGCGAGCGGCAGTGGTCGGGGAGGCTCCAGTGGAAGGCAGGGGTCACACGAGGGACCCTGTGTGGCATGCAAACCAAGGGGACTGCTTCTCACGACAGGAAGTGCTATGAGCAAGGAGACCACGTAAGAAGGCCTGGCTGGCGGGCGGGATGGCACAGAGGCCAAGACACCAGCAGTGGCTCAGCCGCCGAGGAAGCCACCAGACTGTCCCACTTACGCTGTCCTGCTTCTGTTCCCCTCTATTTAAAAAGCGCCGTTGGGTGGTTGCCCCAGCGCCTGTGGGATCAAGGTGACACTTCCAGACGTGGCGTACCTGGCCTACCTCTTCCGCCCCCACCCCGTCATTCTCCCACAGGCTCCCCGAAGCCCACCAGGCCACGTTCATTCCCTCTCCATGCCAGGAGTGGGGTTCCCTCACGCCCGCCCCTGCCCCTCTGCAGTCCACTCGAATGTCATCTCCTTCGTGCAGTCCCTGTCCCTCCCCAGTGCCCTGAATCCCATCCCATTAAGATCACTTCCTCCTGTAAAGGGGTCAAACCCATGGCGATGGGAGACCAGGCTTTGGGTGGTGAGTACACAATGTGACATACAGGTGATGTACGTGGAACTGTACGCTTGAAACTTATGAACCAGCGTCACCCCAATAAATTCAAAAAGCAGAATTCAAAAATAAAACATACGAAGAGTAAACAAAAAAGTGTGTCCGCCAACTCTGAAGCCCCCATCCCATCACTTGCTCCATTTCGACTATAATCTTGTCTCTCCTGCAGATAACGTGTCCTGACTTTACGATAATCACTTCTCTGCTCTACTTTGTATTTTCACCATCCATAGTTTAGTTTAATCTTTCGAAATTAAAAAACAAACAAACAAAACTCTTCTCTCCCCAGGGTCTCCCACCCTCACATGAACTGCTAGCGGGGCCCTTCAGCTTTCCGTGGGGTCTGGTTCGGATGTCTGAAGGGACACTGTTCACCCCGACATCTCTTGGGTCCCCCCGTTCTGCAGGGGACTGATACGTGTTTGCTAAACTGTCTTTAAAACACTCGACTTTCTCACAGGTCTTTTGCTTTACGTTACGTCTCCCCTTCGCTTATTCGTGTATCTTGTCCTGTTTTAGCTGCCGTATTCTTAGGGTTTTTGTAGAAATCGTAACTGTTTAGAAATTACCTAGGATAAAGTTTATCTTTGAACTATTTTCTGAATAAAGACGTCTCGTGAATAAATTCTAGGGAGATTATAGGAAGTAGATTTTTAGATTTAGGAAAGCTAAGTTTCTTATTCTATGTAGTTTTAAAGTAACTTTTTAGTGTGGTCAATATAACATTCTACATTTCTGTACACACTTCAGTCTGTTTCTGGATTTCTTTCTTCGTTCTGTTCGTCTGTCTGTTCACGCACGAATACCACACCATTTTAATTTTTGAGGCCTTAGAATGCATTTTACTATCTGGTAGGGCCTACCTTCCACTGGCCCCTGCTCTTTTTCTTCTTAGGGTTTTTCCAGATATTTCTGCATGTTTATTGTTCCAGATAAACTTTATAAGTATTCTAGCTCCAGGAAAAAAAAAAAAGCCCCAACTTTTTAGATGTATACATTTATACATAAAGGATGAATTTTTTTGCCTGTTAGTAAAACAGGTAAGATTATTAGCTTATATTCTATTGAACGTCTTGGTGACATAAGGAAACTTTAAACTACTAAACTATTTCAGGACTTCTAGCTATCCTTCCTCCACTGACTGCACCTCGCAAACGTCCGCGACGTGCTGAGTGGGGTTAAAAGCAGACCGCACGCACGCGTGCCTGGGCTTGCACCCGACCGGCTCTGCAGTGTGCGGGGCGCGGCCAACCTGGGGGAAGGTCCTTCATCTCTCTGGGCCCCCATTTTCCCTGTGAAGAGCCATGAGAACCCCATCTGCCTCCCTGGGGTCTGCAGAGAATGGAGCAAGTCAACACGCACAGGGACCGCGCTCTGCCGCTGCCCCAAAACCGGATTACGAACGAGGCCCCAGGGCCCCGCAGGCAGCGGGTGGTGCGGGCTGACTCCGGCTGCGCATGCCGGGGGTGTGAGTGCTGCCTCCTCTGTGAATCCCTTTGCTGGTGCATATCCGTGTGTCACAGGCGCTTCGTGCAGTGCTCAGGGTTCTGTCACGTGCCTCATCTCACACTGAGTCCCCCTGGGGTAGGGCCACTAGCAGCTAAGCTTCGCCCAGGAGCCTGGAGCAACCTAGAAAGCATCCCAGGGGGGATACGATGCTCTCAGCTTCTAGAACGTTAGTCTATCCCCTTACTTGTGTGTTTCTCGCCAGACTCTGAGCTCCTGGAATTCTGGGTGGTTCGTCTTTGTGTCCTCAGTGACTGCCATACAGCAGGTTACCGGTAAACACCAAATTTTTACAAAGCACATCGTGAGTAGCAGCTGAAAATTTGATGCATAAGCAAGATTTCTTTACACAGAACCCACGTGGCAGGCAACCCCTTCCGTGTAGCCGAAGCTAATCCACGTGACATCACGGAACATCTTACATGCGCATGGCATTCTGATATTTCAAAAGTGCTTCACATACCACGACATCCGCTGAGGGATTCTATCATGGAAAGAGGCCAAATGACTCGCTCGAAGTCATCAGGCTCGTGAATGACAGCCTGGGTAGCAACCGACTTCTGCTCCCCAAGGGCTGTTTTCTCAGAAACTGCAGTGTATACAACACACCGTGCTTAGGACGTCAGGTGCTGCTCTCAGTTCGGATCAATACTTTAACTGATTTTAATGCTCACGACAACCTGGGAAGCAGATCCTGTGATGCTCTCGAGCCATGAGGCACGGAAGGGCTGACACGTGGCAGAGCCAGAATGTGAACCTGGGCGACCAGGGTGTTCAAAGCGTCAATTTTTTTCCACTTCAGTTTAGTATTATGTGGCGGCTGCTCAGAGGTGCTACCGGCAACATCCCGGATTGCTCTCTGCTTGAAAGCAGGACTTCTCCCTCATTGCCTTTGTGTTCCCATAGCAGCTAACATAATAGGGGCTGGATGTATATTTCCAAGATGCAGATGTTTTTAGCACATGACTCAAACCACTGGTTTCTGCGTCAAAGAACTCTACTTCGAGATCGAAAGTGTGTTCTCTCATTGGAAACTGCTTTTCCATTAACTATTTAACCGATAGATTAATTATGGATCTGAAGTTGCATTGATAAAACTATCCAACAAACTGGTAGATTTCGGGGTGAACCTTTCCTGGACCCCTGCACTTCACCCTGGTCATGTGACACGCCAGCCTGCCCGACACCATACCCGTCTGCTCTAAATGTTGCTTTTGACTTAGTTACAGCAACTCACTGCAAACAGTGACAAGCAGAGAGGACTGAATCCACCGATAACTTAACTGGTGACAGGTTCACCGGACAGACCAGAGTTTAAGGTCCGTGAGTGGACGCCAAGTCACCTGTGCGTTTCTGGAGATTCTCGTGCACGCTAAGGTAAACATCTATCGCCACAGATTGACAAACAATTTTAGTCACCTTTCGATCCTGTCATACTCAGATACCTTCTGGTTTTCTCTTCTATTTCAATGAAAGCCACTCAGGTAAACGAATTTCTCCCTGCTGTATTCCCTTGCACGTCACAGTCAAGACCTTGATTCTTCGTGGCATTTCCGTTTGATACTTGAATCAATTTGCTTTCCTCGTATTTTACTCTTTTTCATGACTATATTATCCATATAACATACATGCTACAGTTTTGAATACCCTCTATAATTACTGTACCGGCAATTTACGGAGATCACGTCCCTATTCAATGGCTGAATAAATAAGGAATTCATGAAAAGTAATACGCCTGTCATCTGATCGTTAATTTTTAGACTCAGTTTATAGGCGCTACGAGAATCTGTGTATTCCACTCTGAAATGTGCCTCTGACAGATCTGAAACGGGTGATAAGAGATGTTCTCATTTTTAGAAATAAGGTTAATAGCAAAGCAGAATAACTACTTCTTGAAAATTAATATTTAAAATAGCTAATACTGTCCCGCTCGTTTAAATTTGGTATTTCTGAAGAGAACAGTAGCTGTTTTCAAATAAATGGCGCCACACATTTTAATGCATTTGGGCAGACTGGGATCCTTAATCTATTTCTCAGTGGCTCCACTTATGAAATAAAGATATTAATACACTTACTATTATATGAAAAGCTAAAACAAGCCCTCCTTGAACTTCACTCTGCCCATTACACACAAATCTGTATTAGGTGCCGAAGACAAGTTTCAGCAAATCATTTCTGACAAGCGCACTTTTTTTGAGATCCCTAGGAGAAATTAAAAGACCTTCCTCTCGCCCCCCGCCCTGCCTGTGCCCGACTCTAGTACGTCACCCTCCATCATGACATCCTGTTCGATCTTCTTTCTAGCAGTTACCGCTACCCGAAGTGTTTTTTCTCACACCTGTGTTTACTTGTTTACCGTCTGCCTCCCCCACTAAATCACAAGGTCTGAGAGACCAGAGTGTGTTGCTGTCTTACTCACCACTCATCCCCAGCACCTACAACACTGCCTGGGACACGTGCAGAGAATTGTTGACCGAGTGACCGACTGAATAAAGGAATGCGTTCAAGTTCTAGCTCAAGCAGGGACTGAGATGAGAAGAGGAGAACCTTTTTTTAAATTCCGTACTTTGATTTCTAGGACGATGGAGCTAGGCTGACTAATGTTTCAGTTTCACATGAGGAGTGGCTGGCTATCTGGGCAAAACTTCTAGAAAAGCATCAATAGCACCCATGAAAACACAGGGAGAACTCAGTGTGGCCTGTGACATTTATATAACGACCCATGACAATGCATGTGAGCCCCTACCTGGTTCATAACCGAGCTCGAAGGACTGAGAACTATTCTTGTTATCAGTTGTCGAGTAAATATGTTTCTTAACTTTTGGGGTTTCTTTCTGGCTGCCAAGTTCAATGTCTTGGGTTCAAAGCCCAGGCTCATTACTTAAGCATGCGTGGGGCAGGGGGGACCCCGGGAGGGAGGGTGATGGAGGGAGAAAGGGGAAGGCTAATGGGGGAAGATGGGTTTGCTGGTCCTTTATGACATGACACTTCTGAAGCCATGTTAGTTTTTCCTCAGCTCTCCCCGCCCCCCATCCTGCCCCCACACACTGAGGACTCATGAGGTGTTGGAAGGTTTTCTGTGTATTTATGACATTTTCAAATGGTCCCATTTAATCCATACTGGGTTTACTTCTAAACATATGTGATATAATTTCCTTTTGATTGTAACTCGTCAAGGATATTTTTATGTCTTTTAGCCTCCATGGGGTGAATTTCCAACAATTTTTTACCCATAAAGCAAAATATCACAGCCTTTACTTGGCCTAATAACTACCTTTCCCGCCTCACGGGGTCCAGACCTCTAGGAACGGCACAGGGCACTCCCTACTCCCAGCTCTTCACCTGCCACGTCTGTGCCACGTGTTTTGCAACCTCATTACATAACATCCCCCAAAGAAAGGCCAAGCTCCTAGAGGACGGGAACTCTATATCTAGTTGCTTTTATAGTTGACTTCCAGAACCTTCCCCAGCACCTCATTCCATGACCACTTTGTAAAACACTTGATGAACTGAGCTGAATTCTGGAATGCGGTTCGGCCTCTACCCTACTGACTCTTTGTGATCTACTGCCCTTCCCTTTCATGAAATCCCAAAGCTTGAAGTGTTTGTATGGAGAAACATCTTTCTGTAGGGCCACTGACAACCCTGTCATTAAGTCTTTTGGGCGGCCTTTGACCAGAGTTCCAAACAATGTTCTAACTTTGAAGCAATTAAGTTCCAAAGTAAGATTATGCTGCTGTATTTCAATCCCAACTTTAAACAATAAAAATTTTGGTCTTTTTGGCCACAACAGTAAACTGTCATACAAAATATAATTTGAACTAAAATTCATCACAAGCACATTTGGCATAATAGATACCGAAAAATGCACTGTGAACATATCATAATTTCTCTTCTTTGTTTTGAACAAAATGACCACTTTCTATCTGGGTAAAATGTAAAATTAAAAAAAAATAATAACAATAAAGCATGTTTAGCTGGAACCAATTACTGGATAACTTAAAAGTGGACCAAATCACACACGAGAAAGATACTGGGCCATGTGTTAGAGCTCTATGACAGATGGATAAATCCCTAAAAAAATACCTCAAAGTGGCCATTATGTCACAGTTGATCACCCTGAAAAAGTTTTGTTTTTCAGAATACTTAAAAGCTTAACCCTATATCCACTGCTTTTATAGTTCAGTGCCAATTTGAAGAGAATAAGTGATTCTAATCTTGGATTTCACCATCAGCCTTTAAAGCCAGTATATAGCCGATGCTTAAAACAGCTCTAGTGCAGATTATCATGTAATTATGATAAATGCCAAAGTAATATAATTAATCTTAACTACTTCACCAAATTAAAATATCTTAGAACGAAAAAGAAAAGGCGACACATATAAGCACACACAGGATTGTATGAGCCAGTACATTTCTCAAAAGTTCTAAAGGAGTGAATATCAGCTTCCTAAAAGAAATCCGACATCTTTGCACACAGCTGGGGACGACTATGGAACCCATGTGCTAGGCGCACCAACATTGGGATGACTTTCATTTAGTTGTCTCTTGCCAATAGGTCACACTACAAGCCCCAAAGTACTCATCACTCTCAAGGCACAAAGCCAGTTTCAGAGGGAATCGTTACGGCTGCTGTCACTGCAGGTTCCTGCATCTCGGGAACCGTGACTTTGCCCCCACATTCCCCAGCCGCCTGTGCCACCTCCCCAAGGAGACTCGCTCAGTGAAGGCTCAGCACTGACCTGCAGACGCGTGGCCGGAATACAGCGCCTTAAAACGATCATGAAGAGTAGTGGCGGGAAATAAGTGTGTTCTGTTACTAAGTCAACCCGCCCACAGAATGGAAACCCCCCTCACCCCAGGAATGTTCCTAGAATTGGGGGAAGGGCGGGGTAGAGGAGCTTCTGAAATCAATTCACGTGCTTCTACCAATGAAGTATGACTTCCCTTTTTTAAAATCATTTAGATTTTTTTATAGTTTTTTTTTTATTGCGACAATAGTTGAATACAGAAGAGCATTTAATTTTACTTTCAAAGTGACCTTATTAGAAAAGATTACCCCCAGTTTATTGTGATTTCTCTTATCACTACTCACCTTTTAGAACTGGCTGTAATTTATAAGAACAACTCTAATTAATGTGTTTTTCATTATTTCAACAGTACAGGACAATTGTCCCACAAACGCTCACAGAAGCACAGATATCCGATTAAGAACTATATATGTTTTTATCTAAGAGTTTTTTGTTTAAGAAAAGCCAGCAAATACTAACCTTCAGGTTGGATAAGCAGTTGTTGAGGAAAATGTGCCACCTGCTTAGAAACAGCTGCTTCTGACTGACACAGAGTAGACAGGTCACCAGAGGGTACAAGGCCTGAGGAGAAAGGAGATGAGGTCACAGGAGGGTTTATATTCTGACACACCAGGTGACACGCGTTCTCGGGGGCCACAGCCAACCACCTCCCTCTGTGGCCTGTATAGACCAGAATAAAGGGGATCTCAGAACACGATTAGGCCCAACGGGCGCCATACAGAGGTGGACATTTCACCAACGCTTTCTGATGACGGTGGAGATGGAATAATCTAGAGATCTGTATAGTGTACAAGTGTGTGATAAGCGAAAATCACTGATTTAGCCTCCGGTTATAAATTTTCAAAGCAAACTCATTTTCCTCGCTCCCTCTCAGTCCTCAGAAGGAAAGCAGGAAGGCTCGCTCATTCTGAAAATGTTCCTGGCTTTTTCGCTCATAAACATCGACTAGCGTGTCCCCGACTTAGAGGTAGATGTACGTGTTTGCTTTTGCATGTAATCTTCCTGTAATTAAGGAAGATTCCTAAAAGAAATGTTATTGCTTTGGTAAACTCCACCAAGACAAATCTAACCACAGAAGGAATTTGCTTATGACGGAATAAACAGAGGTGCTACTATGCTCTTCCTGCCTAATGGGGCCAAATTTCCTGCAGCAACTGGAGAAGACAGAAAAGCTGATGGGTGGCCGGCCACCCAAAAACATATATGCAGAACCCGTCATCACTTAGCTGAACCAGACAGCGTACGCCTTTATGGCACTCAAAATTACGGCTAGTGAAGATTTAAACCGAGCGTTAACTCGAATTAGCAAAAAACAATTGCCCCAATGGTATTCGGTGCTTAACGACTCATTAACTTGGATCTGATTTTTAGTAACTTATTTTTAAACTGATTTTGAACTATTGCTGCCACCGAGTGCAGCTCTAATGCTAGCTAGTAACCTAAAAACAAAACCGGACAAAAACAACACACAGCCAAGCAATTCGTCATGATGACCACCTAATGCAGACAAATGAGCGGCTTCATCCCCAGGGCCGGCCAAGCAGCGGATCTGCTGGGACAGTGGTGACTATGCCCGTACTTGGCAGGCCAGCATAGACCATGCCGACGAGCAGCGACCCAGGCGGGCAGCTTCTGCCACACTGTTGCAATGACAGCTGGTAGACCCCTTGTTGGTCCACGAGCCAGAGCTATATTGACCACTGAGGGCAAAAGGCTGTAGTAATTTCAAATAATTTTCTATGCTGCTCTTCAGCGCAAAAGCTCCCCTCAAAATCGTTTTCTCAGTCATGACAGAGTCATGCCCCCAGGGAACTGCCTGTGTCCCAGCCACCACCCCCCTCCCCCGCCCTGCCTGGTCCATTTTAGTTCTGAATATCGGGATAGGGTTAGCCTGGGAAGACTCTGGAAATGAGAAGAGAACCTGTGATTATAAACTTCAGCTTCAGATTGGAGGGAAAATATCTCAGAAACTAAAGCAGAAATCAAGTTAAGCCAACCCTGGAAGTGAACGACAGAACCCTTAGGACCAGAAGCATCAGTCGAGGCGACATGGCCTCAACCCCTCGCGTCACCGTGAGTCAACCGTGACCGACGTGAAGGGCGAGCTCCGCATTTTGAAACGCTGCCTGTACCTGGGCGAGCTGCGGGTGAGGCCCCCGTCAGTGCCCTCAAACGGATCCCGCCAAAGCAGAGAGTTTTTGTCTCTGCGGTTTTGTCACTGTTACTAACCAAGGAATGCTTCTTCCGAGAAGAGAGTTCCAGCGTGGTGTCATAGAGACTTTCAACAAAGTTTCTAAGGCAGGGGACATTGACTTCGTTTTTCACCGCCTGAAACACAGATGCATGTTAACGTTACATTAATTCCCTTCTCTAAACGAATGTGAAAAATTCTTAAAAATGAAAACGTAACGACTCACGGCAGCTACTGGGACAAGAATTTCAACGAAAAGCCCGGCCAAAGCATGCTTGATGTCTTTGTCCTTGACCTCGAGGAAGTAGTGTGCACATTCCTGGCAAGCAGAAAAAGAGTGAGATGCGCACATAAAACTTTAGGGTTTGCACGAATTTAAGGAAATAGCTGTGAATTCCATCATACACACTGACGTCGCATATTCCATAACCTATTAACGAAATCACAGACTCGGTTTTCGTATTTAAGTTCGCCGAGGCCAGAATGACATTCGCCGAGGCTGGTTTTCTTCTTGTCCAGTTCCGACTCCGATGTCAAACCACTGCACCGAACAGACATGGCACCTACATAACCAGCAAGCAGAGAGTCACCTGCTGACACCCGTTGATTTGCTCAGCATTCATTTCCAACAAATTTCTGTTGACCGCCTACTGTGTGTGAGGCCCTGGGCCCTTGATTAACCCACAAACGCAGACGCCCAGAGAAGGTAAATGTAGGAAGAGAGGCAGGAGACATCATACTTATTTTAGGCCCTGACGGCCCCGGATGCAGAGCTCTTTATTCATCAGCCCAGGGTTTTTATGATTCAGTTTTACGAGCAAGTCTGGAAGGCTCCCTGCCCCGCCTCAGATAAGGAAACGTTTGCGATAGTTCCTCAAGCAAGGATGTCTTCGCCTGTGGACTGTCGTCTGTGGGAGTATTTCCATTGCCCAGGGAATCACACAGGGGCCTGTCCGGAACTCTGCCAGCCCCGCTCAGTAACGTACTGTGATCTTCACCAGCTGTTGTTTTCATGTAGAGTCCAGGGCTGGGATGACACGTCACCATCTACATTAGCTACTACCATTTATTTCCAGTCGATGCTGGGACCCTCGCCAACAACAGCTACTAAAGTCCCCAGTCTGTCAATATCTCACCGAGACTCTAGCCCAAGACAGGCACTGCCCGTGCAGAAAGGTGTGGTGACAGAATGCAGCTATGGTCTCCAGAATCGTGGTCCCCCCCACCCCTATCACGTGGCGTGTGTGAGAAACACGCTCTCACAGCGCCCTTCAAGCAGGGAGATACATGAATTATCAGTAATAAAAATAATAATGGTCAACAGCCCCTGAGTGCTCGCCATGCACCAAGAATCCTCAGAACCGCTGTCTACGGTTGCTGTCATTATCACCACTTTGCAGATAAGGTAAGTGAGGCTGGGAGGGGTTAAGTCTGACCTGCCCGAGGTCACAGAGCTGGAGCTTGATTTCAAACCCGGGACATTTGACACGCAGCCTGTATGTATTTCTTTGCAGATTTTCTGAGATACAGTTCACGTACCCTGCAACCCGCCCGTTTCAAGTGTACGATTCAAAGGCTTTTCACATCTACACCACGGCACAGCTATCGATCACCATCACCGAATCCAGGACCTTTTCATTATCCTGCAAAGAATCTTTGCACCTCTGAGCAGCCATTCCCAACCTCTCCACCCATACCCCCTTCCTTCGGCCCCACACGCCTGCTTCGTCTCTATGGATTTGCCTATTCTGGACAAGTCATTTAAAAGGAGTCATATAACATGTGGCCTTTTGTGACTGGCTTCTTTCACTTAGCGCGATATTTTCAAGTTTATCCATATTGTAGCATGTGTCAGTACTTCATTCCTTTTCATGGCTAAGTAATATTCCATCGTATGGATATATCGCGTTTTGTTTATTATTCATCAGCTGGACACTTCGGTTTTATCTACGTTTTTGCTATTATGAACAATGCTGCTATGAACACTGGCATTCAACTTTTTGTGTGGATATATATTTTCATTTCTCTATGATATATACCTAGAAGTGGCATTGCTGGATCTGCCACTTGGAACTGCCGAAATATTTTCCAAAGCTTTTGTGGCTTTTTACTTTCCCACCTGCACTGTATGAAGGTTCCATTTTCTGCACATCATCACTAGCACGTGCTGTTATCCTTGCCTCTTGCCGTCCTGGTGGGTATGAACCTGTATTCATAACCCTAGCTCTATGCTCTATATTGATTAAGATGCTCATTAAATCTGATTTGCAGAATATGGAAAAAAAAAAAAAAACCTTCATGTACCAACGTTTTGTAAACTCTAATAAAGCTGCACATTCTGTGAAATCCTCATTAATAACAATTCTTCTGCTGGCATATAATGATAAATGCCGTGGAACTGACACCTAAGCCTGTATGGTTTGGTAGATATTTTAAAAATAGACTCTTATAGTATAAATACAAAAGATTTCTTCATTTTTTAAAGTTCTGATGACCATGAATGTTAACATAGCCAATTCAATGCTATCAACCCTAAAAAGTAAACGAATCAGCTATAGTTTATTCACAGAATATGTAGCCAATGGGTAAAAAAAGAGGAAAAAGGTTAACCAGACATTCCACTGGACACCCTGTCCCAAAGATGATATTAAGCTCTAAAATGAAATTCTGTGCCCGCGACTCTATCATTTGGTTACAAAGCCTGTTACGAAATGTTGAGGGAAAAGTATGACTTTTCTACCTGAGCGAGTAGGCTTTCACACCCCTGGTCGGCCACCCCCAGGAAGGCGCTGTCCCAGCTGGCAGCTCTTTGATGACATTACCTGCATGAACTGAAGAGAGGCCTCGAAGTCCTCCACCGGGTACATCTTAATTCGAAAGAACTTCATCCCCATTATCAAGCTGATGATGCTCTGAACGACATACGGGCTCTGCTCCTTGTGCCGTAATTCTTTGAGCTCTGCCATAAATTTCTTCTTCACAGCAGGGAATCTAAGAAGAGAACACGAGTCATTTATCTGTTAAGTAACAGACTATAATGGAGACCTCCAGCATCTTGGGGTGACAGGGATGGGGGGTCCTTAGAATCAGTCAGAGTCAAGTGGCTATCACTGTGTAAGGGTTCGACACTGGGGATTTTGGAAGAGTCCAATCTTCTCTCTTCTCTTATTCTGTAAGATGCTCAACGTCTCTTTCAGGCTAGAGAGACGACCCGGGGTTATTTAGGTCCTCTCAAAATGGCCTAGCTCTCAAATCAAGCTCCGTTTCCTTGGATTTAGCAATTCCCAGCACATTTACGGACCCCGAGGGCATGAGGCATCCGGTTATGAGCGTATAAGCAATAACGTGCTAGGCCGGCCAGTCCTGACGGCGACAGGAAAGAACTTAGGCCCAGAGATGTCCCTGCATCCGCTTCCAGAGCTCTATGGTGTGGTTTGCTTTATAGTTTTAGGTTCATGATTATTGTGAAAAGATACTTCTAGGTCGAAGGGAAATCTAGTAATGGGGACATTGAAATCAGAGCTAAAAGGTGGACAAGCTCCCCATGTATGGGGGTTCACAGCTGAAAAGACACAGTCCCAAAAGCGCTTAAAGCATTTGTATTGTGTGAAAGTAAAACAATATTAATAATTAATATTGATGACAACAACATCATCATATAGGATTAAACAAAGAATAGACCTTAAGAGGATGCAAAGTACTGGCACATCTGTAAAGTACCTGAGGGTGATGAAATATACACATAAAAGTTACCCAAACTATCAAACTATTTCCGAGAGGGCCGGTTTGACTGTTAAAAAAAAAGAAAAAAGAAAAAACAAGGAAAGCGTTCTAAGACTCACTGACTCGCTGTATTTTGTTTCCTGAGACTACCAGCCTGTGTTTCCACACAAGTAAAAAGTATCAATTAGGAACAAGACACGATTAGAGAGGGTAATTGTGATAATAAAAGTTAAATTTCAAATTCTAATGTCATCATTCTCTTCTACTTTTTCAAGAAAATTGATGATGATGGTAGCAGCAAGCAGACACATAGCCCTTACGATAAGCCAGGCAAGGTTCAGTGGGCCTCATGTTCAGTGATTCATTCGATGCCCACGACTCTAGTAGGGCACTATGATTATACCCATTTTACAGAAGAGGAACTCGAGGCAGAGAGTTTGCAATGCAATGAAGTCACAAAGCTGGTAAATGGCGGAGCCAGAATTATAAGCAAAGTGTCTGGCTCTAGAATCCCTAACTCTGAATCCCTGCAACGTTATGTCCAGACCAGCGGTCCTCAAAGTGCGGTCCCCAGGTCAGCGTCACCTGGGAACTTATGAGTAACACACACTCCCTGGCCCACCCTACACCCCCTGAATAAGCAGCACTGGGGTGAGTCCAGCAGTCTTGCTGAACAAGCCCTGCAGGTGACTCCGATGTGCTAAAGCTGATAAGTAGGGAAAACAATCAGACACCTTTGTAAGATGCTGTTCATCTGATGCACGTTACTCTCTTTTACATTTTTATTTCAACAACCTGTTGAGTCAGGCACTGAATGCTTCTCCACTTTATAAGTGAAGAAACGGATCTGGAAGATCAAAGTGACAGACTCAAATCCAGGTCTTCTGATGCCAATTCCAGCAATTTCCGTCATACTCCAGTTGCACAGTTTGTGACAGTGTACAGTTTAATTGGGAAGATAAGACTGTAGTATTGACCGTGAGTCACGTGAATAACAACAATAATGATAATGATGTCATCACGAGGTGTGTTAGCATGTGGTACCTGGCACTCTGGCTGCGTCTCTCTGACCTTTCGGGGAGGTTGAACGCCCAAGGCCAGATTACTTCCTCCTACACTATCCAGTGGAGGACACTGGAGAATGAGGGGCTCTTTCCAGCTGGGTAGAGATTTCAGAGGGGGTCTGAGCTGCTGTGGGGCGAGCAGAGGTCTCTGGGCAGAGACGAATGAGGTTTGGGAGCAAGAATGGCGAGGAAAGCAATGAAAGTGAACCTTTCAACCAAGATTATAAAAATGTAATAATTCTGAACCGGAGTTTTAGAAATTCTATTTTAATTCAAGTTATTTCCAAACTCTAAATAAATCATCTACGGTTTTAATTTTGAAATGTGAGTTAAAAAAAAGAAATGGGTCTTATAGGTTAGATTTACATTGTTTTGAAGACCACAGGATACTAAGGGGCATCTGTTTTCCATTCTCATCTATGACTAAAACGGGGAGTCGGGAGAAGGCGGGTTATCTGTATAACTCACTGTTTCAATATTCTCATGAGTTAGTGGCTGAAAGGCTATTTATTTCTCATTTAAAAATAAATATGGCTATCTTTTATTTTAAAAAGTCCCAAATGACATAATCATGTTATTTTAGCATAAAAATAATCCAAAAATCTATTTGTACTTAAGGTCTATTTTTCCACAAAATAATTTTAGGGAAAAATAAATTTCTTTTCAATGACCATGACTTGAGTGTTTATTACTGTCTTTAGTAAATATATTAACTAAATGATTTCTTGGCCTTTGGTTTGCTATCACATTTACATAAAATAAACTTCTGCTTTAAAATGAATAGGACATATAATCTAAGTGAGAGAAGAATATATATATTACAATTATATCATAAAGAGAAAGCAGTTTTGAAATCTATGAATCTTAGGAGTGACCATCACTGTTTAAATGAATATACCAGATTTTAACCAAAAAAAAAACCCCACTTTACCTTAAAAAAAAAAAAGCCTAATTTTAACTTGACTTTGAAAAAATTAATGCTTTGGGCAAATATCACTTAGTGAAAAAGTTCTCTCTGCAGGACAAGAATTAAGCACATTATCACTAGTGAGACCAAAAATCGTGATTCTGCTAAAACTTAAACTCTAAACTAAGCATTATATAACTAAAATCGTAATGAATAAAATGTTTCATATGCATTACCACAGGGGACTAGATATAAAATCTAAAATTAGAATTGTCGCATTTCTCAAGTTTATTTTTAAAAAGAGATCACCAAATGCCTGGTACCAGACAAGCATACATCCTTCCCTCCCCTGAGGACGAAGGAAGGAGCGCCTTTCTAAAGCAGTGATGACGCCATGGTCCTAGTGTACTTAAGGGAAGGAAGCAATGTGCTGATCGCAGCATGACAGCAGTTTAAGGTGGGACCAGCCATCAGTAAGGGTTACCTGTACATTGACTGCGAAGACCGTGTATCATTGCGGCTAACGGCAAGAGCCCACCAGCCAACAGGTTCTCTTGTGACTCCAAAGTCCTGGAGCATTGCCCAAATCGAGGCGTTTCTTACGTTCTACTACTGCAGAACGGGGACAAATACTGACGTAATAAGAACATAAAAAAAGCCACTGTTGGCAAGAAAACGTTGGCTTGGGACATCTGACCGAATACGGAAACTCCTACGGCCTTCGAATGTCCCTTAACTAGGGCCTCGTCTCTCAGTTCTCACAACCCAAAATCCGCACAGCTACGGAAGCCACCACGTCGTTATGCGCAATTCGCAAAAAAACTAATAAAAACACAAAATGTTGTTTTTGGCATGTTGGACTTCCCAAACGATTGGATAACAGAGCTATGCTGGGGTAATTACAAAGAAATATGTTGAGACTTTCAGGGTTGGATACATCAGCCAAAATACATATTAACAACTCATTTTTCTGATCTTTTCTAGGAATGAAGTAGATGCGCGTGAATTAATTTGCCACATTAATTACAGTTTCTCCCTTCAAAATGCCAATGCTTCTATCATTCAATTGCCATGGAAATCTCTCCAAAATGCATTCCGCTTTTTTTTTTTTTTTTTCTTGAGAGCTGATGAACCTAAATGACTGCAGCAGCTATAATAAAAGTCCAACGCAGTCTCGTGCAGACCGGCCCAGATCGCTGACATCCAGCTCTTTTGTATGCTCTGGTGGTTCTTCTTCGTTCTCAATGGCGTCAGTGCGTCTATTTCTCTTCCCCCTCATACTGATGTTTTTGTGTGTTAGAAAAAAATGGGTATTCCAGATTAATAGACAAACTAGGTGAGATTAAATAAGTCACCCCAAGGAGTTTTTTGGGTCTGTTGCTGAGTTCTTGTCTATGTTTTGGTTAGTTGAGATTGCTGAATAAATACTTTATAAATCGGATATTTCCATGCTACTAAATTAGGAAATTCCATCTCTTGAAGGTACAAATCCCCTTCCGGGGCTGCATTTCACAAGGATCGGGGTGATGCCGTTGCTCCGCGTGGGCCTTCTGCCGGGTCCCACGAGGTCCCTGGCTCGTTGTGCCCGGCTAGGATCAGGGTCTCGCCCAATCTGCCTCAGGGTGGATGTGGAATAAGATGAAGATGGGGCGTGCCATCACTTCTGGAAGAAGTATGTTGTTGCTAACGGTCTGACACCACTTTGTTCTCACCCACTAAGTAGTGTTATGAGGCCAGATAAATTTAGCAATGAGAATTTTCCCCTGACTTGTTTCCATGAGAGAGGATGGGACATTTTTAGCTCAGCTGAATTAAGTAAGGTCTATAGTAAAGGGACATTTTAGAATGGAATTTTCCCACTCATGGATGATAGATCACAACCGCCCACTCATGGAATACGGAAAAAACTTTTAAAACTGATAAACTTCTTTGGAATATTTGGGCAGAGAGGACAGAAAACTGGTCCAGCTCCTTCTCTGATGCAACTGTGTGAAACTCACGGACCCTTGGTAGGAGCCGGGTCAACTGTCAAGTGGAAAAAAAAAAATGGAGAAAAAAAAATTGGAAGAGACTTGTATTTGCCTTGTGGGCCTTTTGGTCAGTTTTGGAGACAGGGCACGCACAGCATAAGAACCCCCATAAACTCACGCATGCCCCCTTCCCGGTAGGGGGGCCAGGGTGGGGCAGAGAGAGGCGACCCTGTTTGTCCTGATGGTGACAAGCTCCAATGGCTACTCACTTGGCTTGTGCCAGCACTCCGATGACTTCTGCATACAGGTCTGCCACAGTGTGCATGTGGCCGGTGTTGGGGCCGAGGTACCTAAGTGAGATACGATGAGACGAGTTAAGGACCCCTGGTCACCAGAAAAGAGCAAACGATGTTGTTTTAAGCACGTGACCTTTTCAAAATTCGAAGGTGAGAAATTACTTTACCCTTCTTTGTATTTAAAGTGCTTGAAAGCCAAGTTAATAACATCGTGTATTAAACTGTCTATTACAGGATGAAGTGGTATCTGGAAAAAAAAAAAAAAAGACGGCTCTTAACTTGGAAGGGAATATTAAAGATCAAATCAGTAAGAGTTTTCTCGACAACTATATATGGACTTTTGCAATCAATAAATTCACGTGACCCAGTACTTGAAATTCATAAACAATTTAATAATCTTAGATTTAAAAATACTTTAGTTTTCAGATACGTAAATCTTATCTAAAAGTAACGTTAAATGAGTGACCTACCTGTTTCAACACTTCTATTAATACTAAAGAAAAAATAAAATCAATGGCGAGGTCCCGTCTTTCCATTAAATAATCCCGCTGCTGTTCATCACTGTAAAATTGAAAATATTCACATTAGTTGATGCTGAAGACATTCTCAGAGAGATATAACTCACCAAAATTCTAGGATTTGTCTCCAACGGACTGTGAACCGATTTTGGTGGCACCAGCTTGCCGAGGTGACCTGTGCACGCTGATGCTATTTCTCTTTTCGGTGTGGTCGGGCAGACAAACTCCAGGGCAGAATCCTTGACCTCCAATCTTACATTTGCAACATGTCAGCTTGAGCAGCTATTTGTGAGTCTATAACCTCCTCTCGGGGACTTTTCTAAGGGATGTTTCAACCCAGGAATTCTCTCATCTGTCAAATGGATGCAGACGCGAGACAGGGCGACCCCTCCAGAGGTATGCGTTGAGAGGACCTTGTAAAAGGAGTCAAGAGACAAGGAAAGTGTGATCACCAAGTGGAGCGGAGCGACAGGGGCTGAAGAAAGGGTCAGAGCTGCTTTTGTTCCCGTCCCCATCCTCTTGACCTTTTGCCCTTGAGATCTCTAAAAGGAGGAAAGACGGGAAGGGGCGGTAAATGAAAGATTGAAAAACGGATGGAAGGAGAGGTGCACGAGGCAAAGTGGAATCATCTGAATGCCTGCGAAAGTCAGGGAGCAGGATTAGCACCGTCAGAGGACAGAAAGCCCTCCCACTTATCTAATGCACTGACTGAGGGCTAATTTGGAGTCGAACAAAGACAGACAGATGAAGTGACGGCTGAGTTCCCCGGCACAGAAGCGGGAAGAGAGGCTGGCAGCACAGTGTGGAGAGTCCAGGGTTAGAACTGCGCCTCTTGTGCTGGCAGCGATGCCTCCGCCTACGAAATGGGGATGATCACAGCGATCGCATAAAGGTTTGCTCAAGTACTAAATAAAACATGTGTTAAGTTTAGTATAGTCTCCCAGACACATATACGAGTACTTGTATATTAGGTAAAACCGACGAGAAAGGATGGGAGGATTTGGACTTGTCAGGCAGATACTGTCGAAATAAGAGTATTTTAAACATGGAACGTTTTCCTCTTCAGTCCAGAGGGAATGAGCAGAAAGGAAGGCGACAGTTAAGGTGTAAAAAGAACTTCTTGAGGAACTGTCACCTTCATCAAGGCAAGCGAAGGCTGGCAGTGGACAGGACAGGCTCGCAGGCGACCTGCAGCTTTGACTTTCAAGGGGGAAACGTTGACAGGGTCGGGACCCACTCATTCAGGATCGTTATGAAGAGTTCTGCCAGGAGGAAGGACAGTGAACCAAACCACCTATCTGACGTCCTGTAAGACCCACCAGAACGAGAGCACGCTCCTGCCAGAGGTGAAGGAGAGACACAGTGGAGGACAGAAACGGGAAGCCTGGAGACCAAGCGGAAGGGGTCCCTCAAAGACAAGTAGCAGCAGAGAGAAAATTCTCACGCTGGCTGGCTCGAAGTTTCTTCAAAGGCGGCCAGAGGACCTTGATAAAGTAGTTCTTGGTAGGAAAAAAAACAAATTAAGCCCCAGAGTCTAATTTATGTAATAAGCCAATAGATGCTTTCAAATAAAAGCCAGACATATATACTTTTCCAATAATGAGTTTGATTTTGTTGCTGGTTTGAGGTCTAGCTACCAGGAGCCAGAGACATTTGACAAATTTATTTGGCACTTGAAATGTTGATATTATACTAATCTTAGAAATCATAACCCAAATACACATCCGTCACATTGGACAGTTTTCAGCTGCTCATGCTTCACCAAAGTTCCTCTTTCTTCTAGTAACAGAAGCTCACATTATTTGCTACATCATGCTCTAGAGACCCTCATTCTTTCGGCTTCCTCCCAAACATATATTCTCTCTCTCTCTTTCATTTTAAACTTTCAAATGCAAACTAAAATGCTACTGAGTTGAATTTCACTGTCCTGATTCTATATTTGAATCTAGCAATTACTTTGATCTCCTGAAAATAATCAGTAAGATTTTAAAAAGAAACTCTTATTTTCAATCCATAAAGCAATCAATTCATGAAAAATCTAGTTTTAGTAACTAAATCCTGACCAAACAGAGGAACAAAACTAAAACTCACTTGATTCAACTCACTAAAACCGCCCCACCCCCAGGAAAGTTTTAATATCTGTTCATAAGCTAACATATGAGAGAAATTGTAAAATGATCCAATTTATTAGTCAGTCTGAACCACTTTCAGACACAGAATCGAAATTTTACCTTTAAAATTTGCCTTTTTAAAGAAGTTTTTATGAGAGACTGCTAATTGGTATGGGTTTCTTTTTTTTTTGAACGTGTTTTTATTATTTTTCTGGTATCTCAATTCTTTTTTTAATTTTAATTTTTGAATCAGAGTTGACATCCAATATTATTTTATACTCGTTTCAGATGTAAGGATTGGGTTGCTTTTTGGAGCGATGAAAATAGCATTGATGGTTGCACCATTTTGTGAATACATGAGAAACACAGAAATACACGCTTTAAAAGGGTAAATTTTACTATCTGTGAATTATATCTAAATGAAAAAATTCCTTCTACTAAAAAATATTCAACATGAAAAAGTTATTAATTTTCCCCCAAACAAAATGATAAATGATTGAATCTTGCATGAACACAAACTTATTATAAAATGCAATTACAAGTTCAGATGAAATATAATTTGGTAAAATTACAGGTCTTCAATTTCAAGAAAAGTCTATATATTTTAAAAAACCATTAGGAATGTCAAGAAAAATGAGAGAGATAAGTCACAAGAAGTAGCTAATATCCGATTTTCTGAGCAATTAATTTTAGTTTACTGTCTTTAAAAGCATTAAGAAGGCATAATTAATTTACGTGGAGAAATCTAACCGCTTTTAAAATAATTTTAGTCTACCACCTTTGAAAGTATAAAAAAGCATGATCGATTCATGTGGAGAAATCTGCTTTTAAGAGTCTTTTTATTAAAAAAAAAAAGGAAGAAAAAGGTAAACGTATTAAACGTTCTTATCACCTGGCTGTAGTGGGTCGCTTTTAGACATGTGACATGTAATTGCATAATGTGTGGGGGACACATGTTCACTGTGAGGCCGTAGGTTTTGTGGTTGCCAAAGCGCTCTCACGCAGCAGCACACCCCACTTTCAAATCCACCAGAGAAGGGGATCACACAACAAATAAACAAAAGTCTCCACTACAAAGTAACTTAGAGATGGTATAATGTGACTTCCCGTTCTGCTGACAAAGATGCTGAGGTGGTGAGCTGCCCAAAGTCGCATGGCTCAGAGTGGCAGCTGCAGGGCCACGGCTGATATCCTGTCCCGCATCTCTCCCCAGACGGTCCACGGGGCCCCTCGGTCACTGACGGGGACTGAAGCGCCCAGACAGTGTCGTGCGGGGCCTACTGCAGCCCTCCTGCTTTTAAGTGTAGACTGGAGGCCAAAGGACAACCCGGAGCCCTCGCACCCCATCCCCACCAATGCCGGAACAAGGCCTTGTAATGCCTTTTCCCTGTGACAGCTGGCAGGACCAGTGCTCCAAATGTGCCACCTGCCAAACAAGGGGCCCCTGGAGTTACTGCCACATACCTGTGTGAAGGGGCAGGGAGACTTGGACGCCTCTCAACTCTCATTTTAATTTTTCTTAAATAAACATTAAAAAAAAAAAAAGGAAGAAAGAAAGAGAAAGAGAGGAAGAGCGAGAAACTATAACTCTCATAATCCTTTCGTGAAAGAAATGTACCTTTTTGATTTATTGCTCGTTCTCGGTCTGTATTCATGTGATTCGTCCTCGATGCCATTTTGCCTTTTATACCAGTCAAACAACGTGCGCAGAATGGAAGGCAGGCAGTACTCGGAGAGGGAGCTCATCGAGCTGATGACCTACACAGAGAAACGGGCCATCAAAAGGCTTGGCAGCGCTGCCGGTTACCGAGAAAAGTTTTATTTCACAAATAACTCCAAGCTATATTCACAACAAAACTTCCTTATTTATCACAGTCCTTCCTTTAATATCTTTTTTAGTACTTTCCCACCAGCCCAGCTCTCTTAATGCTGACAGATTCTTCACTTAATGATTTTGTGGTTCAAGAAAGTTACTTACCTTGACTTCCTGTCATCCTAGAAATCAGATGTTAATCGCAAAAGGGTTAGTTGTGGACTGCAAAGGAGTTATTTTCCCTTGCCATCTAAGAAGTACAACGTCGTGTGCCTCTTAGGTCCTCAAAAATGCTTGTTGTATAAATAAATACATTAATGAATGCAATTACCTTAATTGTTTAGGTGAAATAAGCAAACCCAGCCCCCAAACAAATAACCTAAGTGGTAACATAATGTATGGTTTTCTGCCAATAATCATTCATCCACTAATCTGAGGTAGGCCCCAAATTAGACTCCAGATATGAACCAGTAGCAATGATTTACTCATATTACATTAAAGGCAGAGTTCGCCCCACTTCTTTACACAACAAACGTGCCTTCGACATCTGGAAAGATTTTTGATCTTTTACGAATTACCACCAAAAAAATGAACCTCAAACTGTATCTCAGATTATATGCAAACATGAACTCCAAATGGATCATAGACCTAAGTATAAAACCCAAAACTATAAAACTTCTGAAAGAAAACAGGAGAAAGTCTCTGTGACTTTGGGTTTGGCAAGGATCTCTTAGGTATGACGTCAAAAGCGAAGTCCATGAGAATCTGATATACTGGAAGTCATCAAAATCAAAAGCTACTTTTAGAAAGATATTGTTAAAGTGATGAAAAGATCGGCCACAGACTGGGAGAAAATATTTGCAAAACACGTCCGATAAAGGCCTTGCAACCAGAATGTATAAAACTACAATGAGATAGGCTTAAATTACCCAATTAACACACAGCATAAGCAAATTATAACACCCAGTGCTGACGAGGCAGTAGATAAAATGGACATGTTCATACACGGCTGACAGAAGAAAAAATTGGCAAAACGTATCAGGAAGGTAATTTGGAAATACACAGCAAGAATCTAATAAAAACCATTCTCAATAAGCCCACTCTTTGGAATGTATCTCAAGTGCATAATTGGAGATGAGTAAGAATGTTCAGGCGGCATTACTTATTAGAGCCAAAAAAAAAAAAAAAAGAGAGAGACAACTTAAACATCTAAATGTCTGACTGTTTATAAATGCCTTAAGACAATGTGGAATTTGATGTAGATACCCTATGAAACCATTAAAAAATCACATTTCAAAAATATTGATTGACGTGAAAGTGTTCGTGATATATTAAGTGAAAAAAAGAAAGAAAAATCATTTAATTGGTATGATCCAAATATGGTACAGACACTATACAAGTACACAGATACAGAAAAATAGGAGGAGGAGGAAATATGCCAACACGTCAAGGGTACACACTGAAACCACGAGCTCTCAGGAGACACATGTCACTACAGGAAGAGGGTAGGTGTGAACTAAAGAAAAATGAAGGCAGATTTTTACCTGGGCATCTTTTAGAAAGGGTAGAAATTTGAGCTGAGATTCAAGAAAGAAATTAAGCAGCGACACAAGGCAAGAACGCTTTCGGCAGTGGAGGTGCAGAATAACTGTTTGTTGATGATGATTCTGACGGTGAATTTCATGAAGGTTCTGAGTGAACTGGAAGGATATTGGGCTGCTGTAGGAACTTCGGTTAACCAGAGCAGACGGAAATAATATTGAAAGGTTTAAGCTGGAACTAAATTGTAGGAAGTATTTGGTGCCAGTTTTAAACATTTCAATTTTCTTCTCTAGAAAATGGGAGAGCCCTGAATATTTTTGATAGGGAAATATGTCCATAAAGATGGCATTTTAGGAGGTCTAATCTAGCAGTACCGTGTAGGCTGGACCACAGGGGTTCACTAATGAAGGTGATTAGGAGACTATGACCCAAACTTGAAACGAGCGAGGTTACTGTGACAGTTCCAGACATGCAGTGACCAGGGCCTGGGCTAGGGAGGTGGCAGAAGAGGTGGGACACCTTAGTTAACTGACAACGTTTCTGCAGTTAAGCAGGCTGGGCTGAGCTTCCTCTTATGAAGCAGGAAACCGAATAATGGGAGCCCAAGTCTCTTGTGTCAATAGGATTTGCCATTGTGACCTTTAAAGAAAACAACTGTTTTCTCCTCAGATTCTCTGTCTTAGTAGCCTTGTTTCATGTTCTTTTGTAATCATGGTTATACGCATATACACAAAATTGTACATTATATTTAGTTATGCATTAAGTTAAAAATAAGTATGCCATTGCATTCAGCCTGCCTTGTGAACCTAGTCACCACTTGCTTTTTAAAAAATTAAAAAATACCTGATTATTAAGAAGAGAGCCCTCCCCCACACGACAATACCCACGGCCACAAAGTTTTTCCTGTTGTTCTGGTGGATACGACGGCAGTGAATTTTTGGAGGGAAGCAAACCGTGGTCTCACGGAGGTAATTTACTAGAGCTTTCTAAAGTCACTCCGGCACAAGGAAGTCGCAACCATTTAAAATAATTTGAGTTGGGAAATAAAGGGGTTTCCTTCCTCAGGGGGAAAAAAGGATCAGAATTCAGAGTCCCTGGCCATAGGTTCATTGTCTTAATTATTGCATGTATAATAAAATCCGAGAGCACCTACTACTGTACTTTAATAATTTAAAAACAGTAGTGTAGGTCTGGAGCAACCTTAAGGGGATAGGATGGCTACATGTAATGGGGCATCCTAGAAAACAAAGGAAATACAAATAAAGAATGGAGTTTAGTTAATCATAATAATGCACTGATGTTGGTTTCTTAGCTGAGACAAACGTACATGCTAATGTATGACATTAATAGGGAAACTGGGTGTGGAGTATATATATGACAACTACTTTTGCAACTTTTCTGTAAATCCAAAACTAATCTCAAATTAAAAGTTTCTTTAAAAAGTACTTGTGTGGAATATTGACAAGCTCCTTTTTTACTCTTGACCCACCCATATAGGTGATGTAAACCTCCGTTTGACACTTAAAACACCTCTGGGTACAGCGCCCAGCGTTCTGCTACTGCACTTCAATGTCACCCTCATTTTTCACAGAGAATGTCATTAGTGTCCTTCAAACCTTGGCTATAATTTTTTTCCTACCCATCAGAAAGTCCTCCTGAAGCCAGTCTTGGCATTGCATCCACTGGGCATTCTCTCCATGGCAAAGTACAGAGACCGTCTTAGAAGAGATGAAAGGTCAGCATGGGGTGTGTGTGTGTTGAGTGTGTTTTTTCCATTTCTCTCTTACTGCCCTTAGAGTCCAGGCTTCCAGGAAGGAAGGGTGGAATTCGCAAAGACCTGGCCCTCAAAGCTCAGGAAGGGAGGGAGGTCTAGCCGGCTTCTTGGTTACTCAGCTCCTTGGTTTACGGGAAGCAGAGCCAATCGCGAGGTGAATTCCAGCTCTGTGCTGCTGTTGGAGGGGGCGGGCCTATTGACAAAGATGCTCTTGTTGCGTTTAAATGATCATATTTTTCCATCGGAGATGAGCTGGGCACTGTGCAGCTTGAGGAGATGAAGTGCACAGAGCCACAGAACTATTTCACGCTGCTGCTTTCTGCTTGGAGGGGATGAAGGGGAATATGAAATGTTCTTTGCAAATGCTTTCTTAATGTTTATTTTGGCATTTTATGTATAAATAGGCAAAAAGAGACTGTTATGCTGTAGCTAAGACATGATTTTTTTTCATTAGCATTTTATTATACTTGCTGAATGCAAAGAAGGAAAATTCACACATCAGTATTTGCATAATCATTCAGTGGAGTCCTTCCATATTTTACAGTAATAAGGCTGATTTGTCCTGTGTGGTGCATTTAATGGATAATTTTAAAGTAACTTCATTGATGGTTTAATTTGTCAAACTAGCTCAGGTGGCCGAGCATCTGGGGGTTGGGGTACTCTCTGTAACGGCACAAAATATTGATTAAAGTAATTCAAAAAAATTTTTTTACTTAATCACATATACTATTGCTAGATTACAGAATTTGATGAGTGATGACAGATGCCAAAGGCTTAAGAATAATGTATTACAAAAACTTTTCTAAAAATTAAGATCATCATTTGATTTTAACATCTTGATGCATTTTACGTAGCACACTGTTCCACTGGAAAATAATTTAAACAACGCTGAGCAACACTAATATGATTCCAATGCCAGCTAATTTATTTTTACTCTTAATTGCTTATATTTCTCATTTATACATTTTAAAGAGATTTTCATGGAATTGTAGCATTACGATCAATGTTGAAACACAAGAATTTCATCTGCTTCTTTCCAGGAAAATTAGTACTACCCAAGATGGTAAAAAGTTATTTTAGCTCTGTGAAAATTAATAAACAGAAACCTCATTTAAAATGGAGTTGGAGGCTAGAAGAGAGAATTCTCAGGCACTTGTCACTCAACGTATACTACTGACCTTGTCAGGAAGAGAAGCACTTTGCATCTCCGACAGGAAGTGACAACTAGATAGACCTCAGCAGAAGCAGCAAAGGTTCCTCCTCACCCAGTAACAGCTCAGCCAATGGGAGACCGCCATAACTCAGCCAATGAAAAGTCACTATACTTCAAACTTCCAGTTTCCTCCAATGGACTCTTTGTTTACAACAGCCCATCCCAAGTCCATCAAAGAGCGTTCCCTCCTTTGTTTCTCTGGACTTGTATGTGACTCGCCATTAGACTGCAGGTCCCAAATTGCAATTCTTCGTTGTTCCCAAATAAACCCATTTTGCCAGAGAAATATCTATTTGTTGAAGATGAGCAGCTCTATTATAGATCTATGGATTATTCTGCCATGTGGTTCCTGTGTATAGATGCCATATTTAACATATTAAGAAATTAAAGTGCCACAAACGTCCATAAACATATAA